GGAGAAGGCCCAGGTCATGCGTCTGCCTCTCACTCAGTGGATGAACTCCGATGTCAAGAACCACTTTGTCGCGAGTTTGGGAGAGCTCGTTGGAACGACCATGTTCCTCTTCTTCGCCTTCGCCGGTACAGAAGTCGCCAACATCAAGTCTGCTGCGAACAGCTCCAACTCCCCATCAGACAGCAACACCACCACTGGTGCTTCGACCGGCTTTAACAGCGGAACACTTCTCTACATCTCTATCATCTTCGGCTTCTCTCTCATGGTCAATGTCTGGATCTTCTTCCGTATCAGCGGTGGACTGTTCAACCCGGCTGTCACTCTTGGACTTTGGCTCGTCAAGGGAATTCCTGCATCTCGTGCTGCTTGCTTGTTCGTGGCCCAAATTCTGGGTGGCATGCTTGCATCGGTGATTGTGCGATTCCTCTTCCCGGAGAACTTCAACGTCCGCACTACCCTTGGCGGCGGCGCCTCTCTTGTTCAGGGTGTCTTTATCGAGGCCATCCTCACCGCTGAGTTGGTCTTTACAATTTTCATGTTGGCCAAGGAGAAGCACAGGGCTACCTTCATTGCCCCTGTCGGTATCGGCCTGACACTTTTCATCGCTGAATTGGTTGGAGTCCAATTTACTGGCGGCTCCCTCAACCCTGCACGAAGCTTTGGTCCTTGCGTCATTACCGCAACCTTCGACTCAGAGCACTGGATCTACTGTAAGTTTGACACCCTCCAAGACATGACTTGCGCAGCCGAAAGCTAATCTTAATCGCAGGGGTTGGACCTTTCCTTGGTGCACTCATCGCTGTCGTTTTCTACAAGTTCATCAAGACCCTGGAATACGAGATGGCCAACCCGGGTGCCGACGGCGACCCGGAGAACGACCCCACTCAGAACCCGGCGAAATTGGCTGAGCTGCGCATGTCGCGCACCAAGTCTGCCAAGCAATGATGAACATCAAAAAGTCACGACAGACAGACGATGATACCAATAGCACAGTAATGAAGGGGAATTGGACGTGGTTAATGATGATTTGATGTTAATGATTTGGAATGTGTCACGGGATTTATTTCCTGGCAGAATGATGGAACGTCTCCACATCTCTCTTTCTCTTTTATGATGAAGGAACAGCAGAACATCAGAAACAGCCTCATGACAAAAAGCTGCTGATAGGACACTGGGACATGAATATAGATGAAATATGGCTACTGAAGATACAAAAAACACTCTACATTGAATTCTGATCCGAACACTTCGCTAAGGCTATGCTGAGGAAAACGAGGAAAAAGTGATGGTTCAAAGCCGATTACTCAACTGCTCCAAATACAGCTTTTCCTCAGGTGTGATGAACATGTGTTCGGGCACAATCACCTCTCCAGGCCTCATGATCAACACTGGGTCTGGCTTCACCGTGGACTCGCTCCTACTCCTCGATTCAACCTCGTCGGCCTCAGCCTTCCCATGGCTCTCCTCATCGCCCTGCCGCTTCCACGGCACGCGGTGTTGCCGCACATCCTCAGGCGTCCACCAATACACCGGGAAGCGCCGTTGAACATTGTTAATGATTAGCGCGGTGGCAAGCATTACGACACAGCCAAGCATCACAATAGGCACCAAGAACCAGCCCAGCTTCACCACCCCGTCGTCGACGACGGCCAAGAGTGCCGTCGCGCCAGCAGGGGGGTGCACCGTCTTCGTAAGCGCCATAACGGTCGTCGCCAGCGCGCACGACAGGGCCCCTCCCAACCAGCGCACCTCCTGGAAGTGCGGGCTGAGCTGGAACAGTTTGCAGACTGCGACCCCTACAAGCGCGGCGAGGAGCTGCCCGAGGACTGAGTTGCGGGGCTGAGAGAGCGGCGCCTCGATGGAATAGAACTCTAACACGGCGGCTGCGCCCTGCGAAGAGGCCAAGTCTTGAGTCAGCGCTCCGTTTTGAAGTTATCAGTGCTGACCAGGTTGCCGACGAATGAGGCGGGCGGGAAGGGAGTATGTCGTCATATGGGAAGGCCGAGGCATGAAACGGGTGGGTGGAAGGGGACTCTTGGAGGCCCGAGCCCATCCTTGGCCTCTCCGTGACAATCTCGGTGTGGGAGAGGTGTGGGAATGAGCCGGGAAGCGGTTAGGTGAGGGAAATAATCACTTACAAAGCTGCCGACGATGATGGGGGCTCCATGTTCTCTGAAGGAAGGGATTTGGCGAGAGACGGCGGCGACCGCAGCCACGCCGCAGAAGACGCCTATGCAAGCCCAGAATACCGGCACGAGGTTGCCGGTGTTGTCAGGCTTAGACTTGCGGTAGCCGAAGAAGTGTGATACTGGATAAGGGAGATAGGCCCATGGCGGCGGCGGGATGAAAGGGTTGAGAAATCGATCAATATCGAAGTTCCAACTTTTCGGGTTGCAATGCAACATGGGGGACGGATCGTCGCTATGCCAAGTCCGGGGTAGCGTTCGATTAAATCCGGGGGAGTGCCACTTTTCGGGATGTAATCGAGATAAATTCCGCGCAAATAAGAAGCCAATTTCTCACCCTTGCCCTCTTTCGTCTTTGGAATTGTCTGGGTCTTTGCGAAATCAACAGCAAATGCCCCTTTTCTAATTTTCGTTTGGTTTCGTGAAAGCCGTCGGATGAATATGCGTCGGATAAGGGATGGCATGCAGGAACAGGAGACACAAGCCACAGGCTGGTTGTGGCAATGTGGTATCGTACACAAACCAAGACACAAAATGCAAGTCGTTTCTTCGTCCAATTCAGACCATCCTACCATGTGGCCCGCTTCAGATCTCTCGGATCTTGCATTACTTTTAACGACTCTTACTGCCGCGGAGATTCACATTCAATGGCAGGCGGCTTATTGTTTGTTACTGTTAACAACGGCCTTGGGGCACGTCATATTTGGTAACAGAAACTCCCAAAAGGGTTTAGGTCCCGGACCGGACGGGGGTCCGCCGGCCCCATGTGGACCTAAAAACGGCCAGAAGCGCATTCCAGGACAAAACTATTATATAACAGGTGGCAGCTCGTCATCTGATGCCCGTCTTTGGCCATTCAGAGAAGCTGGCGCGCCGTGCTGGCGCGTCTAAACTAGACTCGGCCGTGTTGCGGGATTCGTTCGGTTTCCCATGCCTGCGGGAGACCTACTTTTTGATGTTTTCACATCTAGCTCCCGCTTTGCCATCGACGCCAACTTTCCGGACCTCCGTGCTGGACTCTTTACTTTCTCAAATCTCGGGAGATCGGCGTGTGGTATTTCATCGAGGAAAGAATCGCCCATAGATGAGTCATGTTTCCGGCTCGCTTCTCCGAGGGGGCATGACAAAGGTCACCTTCCGCCGCGGGGCATCAGTTTGGAAACACTCCGAGTGCGATTGACGGTCGAGTGCAAAATGACCCGCCAATTCCGAGCTGCACGCCCTCAGCACGATGAAGACGTCTGATATTCACTTGGCAGAAGATCAGTACCATTATTGTTGATCTATCAAACTCACATCAGTTGATTCTGATGTCAATTAACCTGGGCGTAAACTTTGTAACTATCAAAATGTCACGCTACCGGCCACAAGCTTTGAGGCGCGGCGTGGCGTTTACCACCACATGGAACACGGTTCACCCCTGTGCACGTCGCACCGACGCCGTTGGCATCTAACCGAGAAATACACAACATGCAAACTTCCTACTTGTACGTTGAGCAGATAAGTCCAGAGCAACTGGTTGCTTGGTCTTTGACTTTGAAGTTGCGATTGCGACCCTCGTGTCGCCTGGGCAGTAAAGTCTGTTCAACAGGCAAGAATTGGCGATCAAGTACAGGTCCTTCGCTCGTCATCATGAGCTTGGACTTGGTTTGGAGTCGGCGGATCGCCTGAAGTCTGGGCCTGGTGCTGTTGGAGGCCGTGCCACCCGTTTTCCAAGGCTAGCGCCGTCCTCGATTTGTGAGATGAAGGCGTTGCTACACATCGGATGCAGGTGGTGTCCTGCATTGGGCTACATTGAATTGCAGTGACACCAACCCGAACAAGACTTGGCGTTTGTAGCCGTCAGTCTTGATGCCAAGCTGATCGTCGAGTTGGAGCCAACTATCGACTGCTGTTGCGAAAACCGAGGGCCATTGCCGTAAGCCTCTGTCAACTTACTCGAGATGATGCAAAATGTTGCCTTCCTGATGAATCATCTGCCATCACAGCGGAGACCGTCTGAGTCAATGATTCGGAGTGAAAAAGCATTGTTCAGAAGAAGAGGCATCACTTGCTCAACACTTGCTCAAGTGTGGAATCAATTATCCGACCATCCCGCGCTTTTGTCGAACAAATGGAACCACTCCCTCAGACACAGACCCTCATCTCTTTCACAATAAGACACTTCCAGGCACATGTTATTAAGAAGAAATTACTGCTTCGAGTTCATAATTTGCACTTCGACTGGTTGGCGGCAGCCCCTGAACGCTCTGACCAAGTTGGCTCTGAAGACCCTGATGGCCCTGTGAACTCCAAGTGGACCGCTCTCGGTAAATACATCTCCGCGGAGTCCCCATCAACATCAAACTCGGCCCCGCCGAGAGCTTTGAAGATTTCGCAAGACGCTGTGACAAGTGACAATTGGGACGAGAAGTGTTGCCCTCTATGGGCTACATTGACAGAATTGGTTGAAGAATGCCTTGATCAATGTGAGAATGATCAAATAACGAAGTGCAAGACAAATGATTCACTACGTGGGGCCGGAGGACCAAAACCTGCCGTCTTATGAATCATTCGGATGGATTTCAGATTGTGCTGGTGTTGAAGGCTCGAATCAGATAAACTGAATCTGTATCACAACTAATGACTGCGCATATTTACAAAGAGGAGGTACAATCGAATTAACCAACCCCTATTAGTTTCCAGTAGCTTCACGATCGACTCGATGCCTCTAGATCTCAATCGTCGTGAAAGCTTCTAGTACATTAAGCAGTATTCAACCCTTGAAGTAGAAAGGGAACTGGATGTGTCTAAGCAAAAGGAAAGGTAGCCCTCTCAAAAGATGATGGCATGAACGAGCACACCCATAACAAGGGCACCAAAGCCAGCAACAAGCTTGCCAGCCGTAGCAGTGGTCACCACAGAAGGGCTGACGGGCGTAACTCCTGCGGAGGCACCACCGGCGGGGGGCTGAGGTTGAGAAGCACCCCCGGCGCCGGACGGAGGAGAGTGAGGAGCACCGCCGGCAAGGGGCGCACCACCAACGGAAGGCTGGGGCTGGGGAGCACCACCGGCACCAGAGGGCGACTGAGGAGAACCACCAGGGGGGGACTGAGGCTGGGAAGCACCACCGGCATCTGAAGGAGGCTGAGCATTAGGACCACCGGCCGGAGCACTTCCAGCCGGAGCACTCCCAGCCGGAGCACCTTCAGTCGAGGCATCTCCGGCAGGGGCGCCTCCGGTAGGAGTATTGCCGGTGGAAGGCTGAGGAAGCCCACTAGCGGGAGGCTGGGGAGAACCAGGCTGACCGGGTTGAGGAACACCAGATTGACCTGGCTGAGCCGCACCACCGGCAGTAGGTTGAGAAGGAGCACCACCGGGCCCCGGAGAGGGACCAACAGGGACGGGGGCCAGAGGCTGACGGCAATTGCTCTTGCAACCCTCGTCGAGAGTGTAGTTGCCGGTGCTGCCATTCCAGACGTACTTCTGACCGGCCTCAGATGCAGAGCCAGACTGGAACCCGCAGGAGCCATCTTTGCAGACGTACTTCTGGTTGCAGGCGTCTCCGCTGCACTTTTGGACCTCGCAGTTGTTTCCGTAACAGACAACTACCTCATCATAATGCTTGCTTCCCGGAGTAGCGTACTCGCACTGGCCGTTAGTGCAGACAATCTTGCGCCCGCAGTCGTATCCGTCACAGACGTCTGGGAACCAGACGCCTTCGTAGCAGACAAGACGACGCTGGCATTGAGAACCAGAGCAACCAGAGTCATAACCACAGTAGCCGCCGTAAGAGATGAACCTCTTCCAGCAGTCACCATCGATGCAGGGCTGGCCGAAACACATGCCACTAACGCAAGGGCTTGGCTTGTAGCAGAAGGGGCCGCTACAGTCCTGGCACAACGGGCAGTATGTGGTCGTGATAGTCTGAACACCGCTGACGACAGCGGTTCCGACAGTAATGACGGCTGTGGTTGTGAAGGTGGCGGTAACGGTGCTTGCATTGACACCAGCGGTGCTAGATCCAGAGATGGTAGCAGTACCAGAGGCGCCAGAGCTAGTGCTGGAGATGCCGCCAACGACACGGGCGAAGATGGTCAGGCGGATCTCAACCGATAGAAGCTGACGCTTATGACGAGACCCGGAGGGAGTAACGGCATGACCGCAGCGCTGGTCGGGGTTGCCAGGGCAGGGAGTGTCGCACTGGGTCTCGGGAACACTGACCTCGTTGGTGCTGTCGACGACGTTTCCGCAGTAGCAGTCGGTTCCTACGACACCTGCGTACTGTATGGTGGTGGGACAAGTAGCAGCGCAGAGCTCAAGAGTCATCAGCGCGGAGGTCAGCGTCAGGTTGAAGCCTGGGTAGCCAGACGGAGATCCGAAGCAGCCGAGATTGCTTAAGGTGTTGCCTTCGACAGTGAGAATAGGGGGGTTGGGTGTGGCGGTGGAAGTAGCAGTGGCAGTGGCAGTGGATTCGCCGGACGTGGATGTGAGCGTGAACTCAGACGAGCCGGTAGAGCTAGAGTCAGTTAGGGTTGCAGAGTCACTGGGAAGGACTGGGTCAGACGTGGCGGTGGAAGCGTCAGTGGAAGTGTCGGTGGGTTCGCCGAGCGTGAAAGTGAACTCGGACGTGTCTGTCGGAGTAGAGCCCGTCGGGGTTGAAGAGCCACTGGGAACGGCTGAGTTGGCCATGGACGAAGACCCAGTAGGACCTGGGTTATTTGAAGAACCGGAAGGGACTGGGTTGGCTGCAGATGAGGAGCCGGGAGGGACTGGGTTGGCTGAAGATGAAGAACCGGGGGAGACTGAGTTTGCCGGGGAAGAAGAACCAGGTGGAATGGGATTGGCCGAAGATGAAGAGCCGGGAGAAACTGAATTGGCTGGGGAAGAAGAACCGGGAGGGATCGAGTTGGCCAGCGACGAAGAGCCGACTGAGCTAGATGCAACTGGAGCCAATGTGGATGCAACGCCACTGTTGGAAGGAAACAGAGTAGTTGAAGAGCTGCTGCCAACAGCTTGGCCTGTTGAAGTGCTACCCGAAGTACCGGCTGCAGGGCCTGTGGAGGCTGCTGGAATTGTTGATGGTTGAGAGGATGAGGACGAGGCAGCAGCCGGGTTCGTCGATATTGTAGAAGAACCAGCAGCTGCTTGACTCGTTGATACGGCGGTTGATGAGCTGGTGGAGGCTGCAGTTGTGGTTCCAGTTGTCGATGTCGTTGTCGGGGGAGCTGGACCCGCGGGAGCTGGACCGCATTCAAAAGAACCAGCAGCGTTCTTGGCGCAGTAAGGTCCCATTGGGTTGTTGTCACATTGACCAAGGCCTTCCTGGCAACATTCTTGATTACATTGACCAACGACGACTCCGACCGGATCACCAGCTTTGCCGCAGATTGTGCCGGTAGGGTTACCAACGCATTCAGAGTTCTGAGTACAAGCCCGACAAAGGCCATTGTCAGTATCGCAGGCCGGACCGGCAGCGGGAGCAAGAGCAGCACACTGTTGGTTGCTGGTGCAAGCAAAGCCACAATTCCCACCGGAGCATGTAGTGCCCGACTGGTTGCCGGTACAATCAGCATTGCTGGTACACCGGCCACAAAGACCGGTGCGAACGACACAGGTCGGACCGTTTGGTGAGTTGGTACAAGCACCGTTGCTGTTGCAAGGCTGACAAGTGCCATCGAATCCGCAGACCGGACCGGTAGGTGAATTAGCACAATCGGTGCCACTCGTGCAACGGAAACAAGCACCGGTGCCAGCGTTGCAGTTTGGACCGATTGACGAGCCGGCACAATCTGCGGCCGAAGTACAAGGACCGCACTGGCCGGTGTTTTGGTTGCAGACCGGAAGACCCGGTGAGCCAGTACAGCCAGCATTCCCGGCGATTGTATTGCAAAGACCACATCGGCCGGAAGCAGTGTCGCAGGTGGGGCCGGCAGTTGAGGTGTTGCAGTCGGAGTTCGAGGTGCAAGGAGAACAGCGTCCGTCGCGGCAGATCGAGCCGCCACCCTGTACCGGTTGTCCGTTGGCACCGCCGGCACATTGAGTGTCACTGGTACAAGGCGGTGCGCAGATTCCAGCAAGGGAACAGACTTTAGATCCATCAGTGGAGCATTCGGTGTTGGCGGTGCATGCACGACAAGTGTTCTGGTCGCAGACTTAGTTTTGGGTGCCTACAGTGTCACCTGGAACTCGACAGTTCTGGCTGGTACGGCATGCAACGCAATTGTTGTTGACGCAGTATGGCGTGGCCCCATTTCGAACAGCACACAACGTGTCGCTACCAAAGCATTGAGCCCAGGCGGTTTGGACGCAGATCGTTGATATCGCCAACAACGTGAGGCCGATAGGGCTTGAAGCCAACTTCATCTTGGCGGTGTAAAAGAGCGTGGGCAAAAGAGTGTGGGAGCAGGCTCGGCGCGAGCAAGCGAGTTGAAAAGGGTGTCGTCTTTGAAAATCTGTCGTGTGTGAGCAAACACTAGAAGATAATTGGGTTTACGTCCATCAATTATCTATACGTCTACTCCCGACAGTCGCCGTCACGTTCAACGTCCAATTTTGAGACCGCTGAAGAGTCTTGGTCTACAAAGATGGTCCTATTTCGCCCTTGGCATTCTCTTCTCTCTTCCATGGAATTCAACTCTTGGCACGTCAGATACTCGCAAATATGCATAGAACAGGCAAACAATTATTCAAATGAACAGATGCATGCGAATTCCGGCAGATGCTATTGGTATGCAGGATCGTCATTTTGAGATCCAGCCCCGAAGGTGGAAATGCAGAAAATTCAGACCAAAATCCAGCAGCAACTGAAGTATTTGCAGAGAGTGAGGTCTCATGAACAGTCTTACACATAGGAGGCTGAGACGTTACGCCATCGTGAGACATTTATCTTCCCCCTAGGCTTGTTCCTGGTCAACTCCGAATGTTAGGCTTTTTGGCTGAGCCCATCCCCTTGGCGCCTGAGACATGAGAGTAAGGGAATGCCCTCTATACTCACAGTGCCAAGCCACACATCGGACAGGTAGTGAGGGTATCGTAGAAGGGCACGGGAGGGAGAGTGAAGCCTGGCGTTGGGTGGCGGCGAGTATAGCGAATAGGATCACCGTAGCCAAGCCTCTACATCACTCGCCATATATTATAGGCGAAGAAGAGCGCGCTGAAACTTCAATGTCTCAGGCATGAAGGAAGTGCACTCGTTATTCACGCAACGCCATCTCCATTTCCACATCGGTTCACGTTCTGTCATTATCGTCGCATCTACCCTTCTGGGGATGGCAAGAGGTTTCAAGCATAAGTTGCCAGATGGCGCTCTCTTTTCATCTCAATTTTGATAAGAATATCAAGGCTCGGCCATCACCAGTGAAACTACATCCTACGCTGCGTTTCATACGCTGGGGCGACACATCATAAGGTTAATATTATCGTAGATCTTATGCCGAATAGCGTACAATATGATCCTCGAAAGATTGCTACATCCTTTACCTGAATCGCCTCGTGATTTTCAAGACAGAAGAATATTTTTCACAGACTTAAGTGAGCACAAAAGAAAGACAGCCTTTTAACGAAGTACTACGTTAAGGAGCGTTCAAGGATTGTATTGAATGCGCTACAAATGCGTTGCTGAGGTACTTTCAATTCACAGGGGGTACTCCCCATACTGGAATACGTTCTCGTCGCCATTTTCGCCATCATTCGTCCGAGTAGCAAAGTATACCATGATTATACACAGAAGATTTCGCCGACGAAGATGATTGCTTTGCATGGCTATATTGATGATAATGACATTTTGTGAATAATTCTTTTGTGAATACTTATATAACTAAAGGGAACATAAGGACCCTTTTTTTCCTCCACCCCAACCTAGGCTAGTCTCCTTAACCACTATATTATAACTTAGATAAGGGTAATAATAGCGATTAGCTCTTAGAGCTATTTACTATACTTCTTATTAAATATCCTATTAATCTCCCTTATATTATTCTTATCCTTTAGGTTCTTAGTGATCTTTTTAAATCTCTACTTAACTTAATAGAGAACTTAGTTCTAAGGGTTTTCTAAGAGCTTAATATATATTATAAGGAGGTATAGAGATATTATATTATTATTCTTAGCTATAAGGATATAACTAAGTTATTATTAAATATATAGTAAACTAGTTTTTTTTAAATATTTAATATTACTAGTAATAAAGGCTATATTAATTAGGTAGGAGGTATATATAAGATTTATCTTAGAGGGTTTTAAATTTAGGCTATAGTGTAATAGGGGGCTACTTCTACTTAGCTAGGTAACTTAAAAATCCCCTTTATATACCCTATAGGTTAGCTATAGAGGTTACGCTATAACCCTCTATATATTTCCCTATCAGAGTTATATAGTAGTTAATAAGGTGCGCCTCCAGGCGGCAAACTGCGAAGAAGAAAAGTTAGAAGGGAAGAAAGATTGATGATAATGATTGAAGATGCTGTTGATCCCATGGTGAACATGGCTGTGAAAAGAAATGTAGGGGAAGATGGCCACGAAAAAAGATTGAAGGCGAAGCAAATGAAACAAGAGCATGAAGCCAAGACACAGGGACTCATAGACCATCCAAGTGAATGTCGAGGTGCGTTTACAGGCGCGTTGACATTTAAGCGTAGAGTGCCTTCTGGAGCCACAAGCACCTTTCGTTAGCCGTCGTGTCGCCAACAACACTGACGCCGCTGTTGTTGAATGCCAGCATTCCTGCGTTAGCGCCCGAGACTGGGAACTCGGGGAGGCCAACCCCGTTGGGGTTACCGGACTTAACGAAGTTGACAATGTAGCCCTGCAGCGTACGAGCGACATTGACAATGACAGGCCCAAGACTGCCGACATAAATACCTCCTTCCACCTCATCTGGACCATTGTAGAAAGCGTAAGGGAAGTCAGAACCATGAACACCTGGGTGTACTCGGAACTCGTAGTTGTAGGTCTTGTTCCCAAATGCCCGAGCCAGATAGTTGACGTTGCATGCGAACCCCAACTCGGCAACATAGAGCATGGTGCGATTGACACCCGGTTCCGGGTAGAGTTCGTCGACAATGTAGCTGACGGCAGGCTCCTCTATCTTGGGCCATGCATCGCGGAGCATCGCGGCCATTTGGTCGTTGGTTTCGACGAAGGGTGGGGAGAAGTTTGCGCCCTCGTTGGCGGCGTGGCCCGTCATAATTGAGACGTTGTGATCAAACTCGCCCTTGAGCAGAGAAATTCCGGGCAATGCCGGCACGAGACCTCCGTCAATGACAGGACCAAAGGTTGTTGAAATCCATTTGGACGAACCGACTGCCTTAGCGTTGGCCAAGATGACTTCCTCCGTTGATGAATTCTGTGCCTCCTCAACAGTACTGACGTTGAGAAATTGCAGGAAACTGTTCGTGGAGTTCTCTTGCTCATACTGAGAGGTGACGGGGATCCAACCGGCCGACAGGGGAATTGCCCTCGCAAAAGGGGCAGGTTTCAACCCTCCGTATGCCGTGATATGATGCAAGATGCTTCCTCCTCCCGCAGATCCTGTGGCTCACGGTCAGCATCCGAACGAATTCCCCCAGCAGTCGTCTTCGATGAAGTCACCAACCTCCCATGACGGTCACCTGCTCAGGGTCCCCTCCAAACAAGTGGATATGTTTTTGGACCCATTCCAGGGCGAGCCTCTGGTCCTGGAGACCAGCGTTTGACACTCCACCAGAAGCTTGCAATGATGGCCCAGCAAGCCATCCAAGTGCTCCTAGTCGGTAGTTCATGCTCACGTAGATAATGCCGGGACTGCAGTCGGCCTGACTAGATCGAATGAGGCCGGTCGGGTCGGCACTGTTGTCGTATATCTTATTCCCAATAGCGTATGCGCCTCCGTGAATCCTGAAAGCTTTCATTAGATTCGTTGCTCAGATAGTTTTCAATTTTTTACGCATACTCACCATACTAGAACAGGCACCCCTTTGTACCCAGTCGCAGACGTACCATTCTTGGCGCTGTCGAACACTTTCTTGGGAACAACAACATCCAGGAAGAGGCAATCCTCAGTCGTGTGGTTGTTTGGGTTAGCCCACGGAGCGGGCCACTCCCTCTGTTCCCGGATGGTACGCGCTATTTCTTCGGCATTGGTATAGTTGAAAGTTGACTGGTTGCCTGCGGCGTATGCTGAAACGAATTGTTGCGTGATATCGAACCACTCAGGCATTGCCTGTGGGCAAATGCGACCTTGCTCGCCAAGTTGGATTTCGGGATTGCGTCCAGTCGAAGGCTGCGGTGCGCGAAAGCGGAGAGAACCTATGGGAGCCTGGGCATAGCGGATATTGGTGAAGTTGAGGATGCCAGTGGTCTCCTATGCCAGTCTTAGTAGAGTCCTGTCGGTAGATAAAAATCGTGTGAGGTGTGTGGCAAGCCATACGTTGAAGGAGATAGCCTGGTGGACTTCATAACCGAGGTCAACAGTTGCCTGGCTGCTGGACGCCTGAGATGGCGTAGGCAGAGCAGCAAGAAAGCCGCAAACGAACGGTAAAAAGAATATTGTCGCAAAAGAGGATTGATAAGACACAGGACAATAGCCGATTCAATCGTAAGTCATTTGGAACAGGTCGGAAACAAGTTGTGATGATCTAGAGTCTTTTATATGTTTTGGATTCAGAGCCCGGCATCTTTGACTAGAACGAACAGCCGTCCACGCAGAAGCACCCCGGTCGGGTGCGATGTCATGAGCTGCCAGTCCATAAGGTTGCTGCTCCAATATCACCAACCCGCAGCTCGATAGATTGCGGTACTTGGCGGTTGCCCCATAGGGCGTATTCAAAGCGTATTCAACGGCCGACTTCCTCATCGGGGTTGCGGGGAGCGTATTCAAGAGCGTATTCAGAACGTAAAGAGCCCTTACGCTTGTTTTTTTCTCTAATGAACGAAATGACCCAAGCTCAATTCCAACAGCGAAGAACGGGATGAGTTCCACTACAGGTAATAATATGGTGGAGCCTGGGGCCGCTGTTCGCCGTTGCCTTCAGCTTGCTACATTGGGTTGATCTAAGCTTGTCCTCCTTAGAACATTTAGGGCATTTGTCTAGGCTGTCATCTATTCCAATCAGTAAAACGTACCGAAGGCCAATCGGTCTGTTGATAGGTTATGGGGCCGACTTGGCGGAATCTACAAATAGAAACTCGCATCCTTTCACAGACCGGCAGCACATGTTTCCACAGGTGAAGGCGTATTCGACTTCGAAGTGCGTATCAATTACAATGAGAACCTGAAAGGCTAATAATGAATAACGATAAATAGCTAAAATATCTCATGCCTCTCGTTTTTCAGCCTTTCACTAGATCTAGTTCATCTCGACTACAGCAAAAGCAGCCCAAGTCCATAATTCCGACCATGTCAGACTGCAGATACCAATCTCTGTTTGCGTACGAGCCGTCAATGGCTGCAGCTGCCTTCTTCGCTTCCGCGTTTGGCTTATCTACTTTTCTTCACCTTGGCCAGGCAGTTTACTTCAAGACGTGGTGCATGATGCCCTTGGTCGTCGGAGCTTTTTGTAAGTCCAGTTTTATGAGCCAAACTTGGACTATACTGACTATAGCCACTTAGTTGAGGCAATAGGCTACATCATGCGATGTCTCTCCGCGAGCGAAGACTTTGGCTGCTGGATTCTGCCTCCTTTCATTGTTCACTCGGTCCTTATTCTCGTTGCACCAGCCGTCATTGCAGCCTCAGTCTATATGCTGCTCGAGAAAATCATTCGCCTCTCCGAAGGCGACTCGTATTCTATCTTCTCCCCGCGCTGGATAACCCGCATCTTCGTGGCTGGCGATGTGGCATCTTTCTTGATACAATCATATGGTCAGTAAAAGTTCTGGCGAGGAGATCCATCTCATGATACATATGTCTGACTTATACAGGAGGAAGCATGGTCTCGAAACCAACCGCGGCGGAGTCGTCAAAGAAAGCAGGCCGACACATTGTTCTCGCCGGTTTAGTAGTACAAGTCGCCTTTGGCATTCTCTTCACTATCGTTGCGGGAGTCTTCCACCGGCGCATCTGTAAGACCTTCACTGCTGCAGGTGTCTCGCAAGAGATCCGCTGGCTGATGACCCTCTACGGCGTCATGGTAATGGTCACTATTCGCAATATCTTTCGGATCGCTGAGCACTCTGGCGGCCAGGACTCTTCCTTGATGAAGCATGAATATCTGCCGTACATCTTCGATGCGACCCCGATCTTGCTGGCGTTGCTTTGGTTCAACTGGTGCCATCCTTACAAGATGAAGAAAACCGCGCCGTTTGGCTATCCATTGACGAGCACTGCCAGTTGAACGAGCCGTTTGTCAATACCAGACAACAATGGTGTCTGGCGGCATTGGCTCTGATTCGTGATATGCCTCGGGACTGGATGTGGCGGCATCATTTCGATTTCCATAGCTTATAGATTTTCTGTCGTTTCTCATCTCACAAAGTTGTCGCCAACAACATTCAATTCTCGTACAGAACTCCTCTCGTCAACGGGTGAAGCTGGCTGCAGCTCTCAGTGGGCGGCTCAGCCACTGTTACATCCTTGTCGATACCCACAAACACGGGTTCTTTGCCCAACTCGCAAACATTTAGTGCCTTGGCGAGGCAAATCTGTCACTGCGAATAGTGCCCTGAGAGCCTACAAGAATTCGGTCTGCCCCCTACATGGCTCTAACAACAGCAACATGCTGCGATGGCAATGCCGCGACTCCTAAGCGGTCGTGCTTCTGCTCCCTCTAGATCTTTGCAGCCGACCTGAGCGAAACATCTTCAGATTAACGGAATGACCAGGACGAAGAGTGACGATAATGGCGCGTCCATGGGGAGCAAAGGCATCGACGGTCTCACCAGAAATCACGTGGTGGGTGTAGCTTTTGCAAGCGACGCAGAATCAAGGTGAGCTTGAGAAAAGACCTCTTCTTGACGAGATGGGGCGGGAACTCGTGAACTGATTCAATCATAGTGCGATGAAAGAAAACCGAGCTGCACCAACTGCGTCAAGAGGTCGCTATGGTGCAGCCTGAACACGAGTCCGTCACCTGTGTCAACGCCAGAGAATGCAGCTCAAGCTACTGTCTTTGAGAGTCTGCCTGACAGTCAGACTATGGAGGAGTGCAATGAATCTGGCTTCACTCTAGATGTTCAGGACCTACAACTTTTCCACCACTTCTGCTCCGTCACGTCCATGACCTTCGGCCCAACTCCACATGTTCAGCAATTTTGGAGTATCACAGTTGCCCAGATGTCCTTTTCCCAACGGTTTCTCCTGCGAGCGATCCTTGCAATCGGTGGCTTGCACATGAACTTCCTCACGCCAAACACCAGTGAGGCCTCGGGTTGGTACAAAACCAAGGCCACAGCCCATTGGCAAGCCGCGGTCCGTCTTGCGACCCCACGGCTTGCTGCAATAGACGCAGAATCCTGCGATCCGCTATTCGTCTTCGCCATGCTCTCATGCCTCCAGACGTTCGCCCTGGGTCCTCAGCCGGGCAACTTCTTGCTATTCACCGACGACGCGGAGATGGAATGGCCCATCTTCTTCCGCGGGCTAAGAACGGTCGCCGAGGCGTCTGTCCTCTTTGGCATGACGGAGCGCGCCAGGCCGCTGGCTTTCATGTACGGCATCGCCAAGCTGGACCTCGAAACGCTGCCTCGGGTCGAGCCCGTGACGTCTTGGGGGACGGCGTTAAGAAATCTCCGCCAGATTATGATGAATGAAGTGTCTGGCGAAGAAGAGAAGGCAGTGTACCAAGACGCTCTCCACCGCCTTCGCGCTGGGTTCGCAGCCGTGTTCGGGAACAGCGATACGGTCGGAGGAGCAAACTCGCAGGTGGTTTTTGCCTGGCTTTACCACGTCTCAGAGAACTTCGTCACGCGACTCCAGGCGCGGGAGAATCTGGCGCTGGTGTTCTATGCATATTTCGCAGTGTTGATCAAGCAGATTGATGGCGTCTGGATGATCAAAGGCTGGCCAGATCACTTGATAGCCGGGATTTACTACGCTCTGGTGCCGGCGACGCGACTCTGGATTCGATGGCCGATGGAAAGGATAGGATGGTTTCCGCCACCGTGATAAAGCTTCAGTGCGCCCCGATGCACCGGGTTTCACGAACGAAACTACCTACGGAGGTCCTGCCCCGGGCGGAAGATTGTTGAATGACCGACGTACGTCTGACGACACATTTAAAGGCACCATCGGATGCCACTAGCAGAACAAAAACGCCATGTTTTCGCTGTAGGGCTTAGCACGCGGGGGAAATGGTGTCTCAGCATCGCTCTGTGCGACGCGCCCGACGGACTTGACATGAGCGCGTCATCGACAGAACCGCCATTTCTGGGCGAGCCGGGTAAGACAGTGACATCGATAATGATTCATGCGGCTCAGCGCCTTCCCATATAAGCAATTGAACAGAGGACCAAGCCAATTATTTCGTGCTGGGATGAAATCATTCAGCATAACCGTCTACCAATGAGCTCTGTGCGAATTCCAATCAGCGTCTTGAGGCGGAATAAGTTGATAGACTTATTACCTTCAAGAACCTCAACGGCGCCGCTTCATCCTTCGCCTGCATCAATAAGAGTTTGCAAAATTGTAACACCTACCAGATCACTACACTATACTCGTCCCGTGAATATTCCCGTAATGGAGACCATCAAGGTAACAAGATCGCTGCATCTGCAAGCCAGTCCTAACACCTTTGTAGAACACCATCGCCGAAAACTTCGGCGGCAGCACCGCCGCGAGCCTCGGCTCTCACCAGTTCAACCTCGAAGACTGCCCTGACCTCACATCAAAGATTGCCGTGGTGACGGGCGGCAGCGAGGGCATTGGGTACGGCGTCACGCACACCCTCCTGAAGCACAACATCGCCAAGCTGTACATCCTTTCCGTCTCCAAGGACGTCGTGGAGGGGGCCCAGGATGCCATCGCCAAGGACCTCGGCACCGAGAAGGCGAACCGGACCAAATGGTTCCAGTGCGACATGTCGGACTGGAAGCGCGTCAAGGAGGTCGCGGAGGCGATCAAGAACGACGCCGACCGCCTCGACATCCTCGTCAATAACGCCGGCCGCGGTATCATGAGCTTCGAGCTGACGGACTACGGCGTGGACAGGCACATGGCCCTGAACCACATGGGCCATGTGGTGTTGACGAGTCACCTGCTACCGCTGATCAAGGAGACGGCGGAGAAGGGGAATGTGGTGCGCATCGTCAACCAGGCGAGCAACGCGCATCAGGCGACGCCGAGCGATGTCAAGTTTGAAAGCTTGGAGGAGCTCAATAAGGATCTGGGTCCTAATGGGCAGTATGGACGGAGCAAGCTTGCGAATATTTTGTACGCGCGGTACTTTGCGAGGAAGGTGACGCAGAACGGGCACCCAAATGTGCTGATGAATGCGACGCACCCTGGATTTGTGAGCACCAAGATGAGCAAGGAGGATATCTTCGAACCGTGAGTACACCCCCCCACCCACTTCAGTCGTCCAGTGCAGCATCTGACTGTGACAGATACCCTTTGGGAGGCTATGCGATGGCTGTCGGTATGGAGCCATTTAAGAAGAGTCAGTGGGAAGGAGCCGTCTCTGCTGTGTTTGCAGCTACGGCGATCAAGGAATCTGGCCAGTATATTTGCCCACCTGCGATTCCTGAGCCAGGCAATAAGCTGGCGCAGGATGAGAAGCTAGCGGATCAGTTGATGGAGTTGACGCGCAAGATCATTACGGAGAAGACGAGAAGTCAGTCTGTTGATAAGGGCTGTCCCATGGACGACCTCGTTTTACACTAGGATGTTCATCAGCCCTGAATACTCAACAAGAATCACAGAATTGAATCTCGTATTACCAAATGCTATCGCTTGCTACCTGTGAAATAGTGACCCCTCCCTCTTATTCTGATTGACATCTCCTTCCAACCCGAACCCGCACCTGACCTCGTTCGGCGACCAAATCGGACTGCTCTGCTGGGGGTATCTTCCATCCGTGCCCAGGGGGCTCATAACATTTTGATTCATAACGCCGTACCCAATCTTCAATTCCTTCACATCCTTCGGTACATCGCCGCGATCCCGATCGGGACCTTCCCACTTCACCTTCTCCAGCGCAGGTCCTCGCGTAGCAGCTACGATGCTCGAGAAGCGCGTATTGCGTAGCACCCCGCCGTTCTCCCGAATCGCCAGCGCGCCCGCCGCCACACACGACATGGCGAGGAATATCGCAATCGCGTAGACGATCCACAGGTCGCGCGCGTGGTAGCTGTACAAGTTTGCCATCCGCGAGCGCTGGCAGCCGTACATGTATGCGGACCTATTGCCGGGGCCGCCACCCTCGAGGAGCTGTCCCGTCATCTCGGTGGGCTGGGCCGCCCAGACGACCGGAACGAACTGGGGCATGGAGAAGATGGACAGGATGAGGTCCTCGTAGAACCCTTGCACCATCTCCATGAGGTTCTCGTGGGGGAAGTAGTTGTTGCGCGGGTCGAGGAGCTTGGTCTGGATCGCGTCGGTGTTGGTTACGGGGTTGACGAGCGCTTTGTCGGTCTGGACGGTGCCGTTGAGGAACTTGCGCAGCATGAAGCCGAGGGAGTGGTATGCTGCCGTGCGACGGTAGTTCGAGACATCGGTTGGGAGGATGTAGTTTGATGTAGGGGTGGCAGTCACGTTGTCCGCTGTGCCGTCGTCTGCGTCGAGATGGGGGATGTATGTTGTGTTGATGATTGGGCGGAGGAACTTGGTCTTCTTCATGTAGGCTGACTGCGTTGCGTCTGTATAGTTGAAGACGGCTGTGTAGTCGGTCTCGTAATGCTCACATGCGAAGATCTTGGGAGTGAAGTCGACGTCGGTTCCGCCCGAAGATGTGTTTCCCTTTACCACATGGCCGATCCAGATGATCGGCTCTGTCCGGAAGGCTCCCATGTGCTCCGGGTATGGCGGTTCCATCTTCGGGATACCGCCAATGTCGACGTCTTTCATCTGTGTCGTTGAGTACTCACCACCACTAGTGAATGCGTAGTAGGCAAAGGTTCCGTTGGGAAGGAGGATGTCGGTGCTGAAAGGCGACGTCGCTTGACCTGACTGTTGGGTGAGATTCGTAGGTTTCGAGCCAACCCCGCTCGCCAGCTCTGTGCACTTGTAGCCAGGGGCGATGAACTGAATTTCAAAGGTGCAGTTCCAACCCTTGCTGCAAACCTCAACCGATGCGTTCTTCCTCGATACAACTTCCTGAAAGTAAGCGCCGAGGGTCGCGGTCTGTTGAAAGTTGGGGCTAGGCCCGGTGTAGTAGTCAAACCATCCCGGAGGATCCTCGTCAGACGGCTTAGTGGTGTTCCAGAATGACAGCGGCATCTCGTAGAGGCCGTCGATGCGGACAGGCTTGCGCCAGTCAGCAGTCTCTTCCATGGCGAAGTTCAAGCTGCGGACGCCAGGGCACGTGGCATTCTGGATCGTGACTTCAGGTTGCACAAGAAGCGTGTTGGCCGTGAGAATGACCACCAACGGGGAGAGCCTTCATAAAAGTTAGCAACCCATGACATGAGAGTGGCGCCGTTGGGTATGGATCTCACCAGACGAAGAGCGCAAGGGCAGCCGTAGCCTTGGCGCCCTTGAGAAATTCCCAGTTCAAGAACGCGATGAGGTTCTCAGTGGCCGCGAACATTGAATCGAGCGCGGCGATGCTCAGTATTCTCGATCTCACCGTGGCCCAAATGCGTTGTTGAAACGCCGATATCACGGCAGCGCCCAAACTTGCTTTGGCCATGAAAGCCAGGATCGTCCCGTACCGAAGCATCCGCACCTGGTCATCCGCGGGGTGGCCGTCAAGAGACGCATAGAACGCGTGATGGCCGACTGCGAAGCAGATGCCCACTACAAGCCAAAGGTACATGTTCCATGATGAGTGCCAGAAGCCACACGTCGGCTTTCGCACGCGAAAAGATCTCACTGACTCATTCGGGGGTCCTAGATAATTCGCTGCGACGTAAGGAGGCGGCTGTGGAGGCATTTGCTGCTGGTGATAGGCATGTTGTTGCTGTTGGTATTGCTGTTGTTGCTGTTGGTGTTGTGCCCCTGCGAACCCAAAACCATCATACCCAGGCTCCTGGGCGTTGTGAAGCAGCGCCGCACTCGCATCTTGGCGTTGGTCGTGATGGTGTGCGAGGTCGTCGTGAGTTTCTTGGCCTCGAATCAGTGGATCGGCGCCGTAGTGCGCCGATCCGCTTAGCGAGCTCAGGTCGATGCCATGCGTGTCCATCGGGCCTCCCGTCGCTGCGTTCGTCGTGTCATGAATGTCGGTGTCGGAGTCCTTCGTCGCGGGGACGGGTCTTTGTGGGATGGACGAGGCTCGTCTTTGCTGTTGTTGCCATCCCATCTCCGTGGTCTCCTGTGATGACATTGAAGGAAGACAAAGCTGCCCAGAGGCAAAGGAGGAGGGGCTGCCAAGGGCCACACCCGCCTCTCTCACAAGCTGGAGATCCAAATGAGACGGAGGATCGCGCTAGCTGCGCTGGTGCAGCTTCTGTTGGCGCTGGGTAGGATGTGCCGAGCGGCAACGTCTTGTTTGGATTTGGAGGGGGTGGGCGGGCAGGATGCGAGATGGAGCTGATCTGCTGGAATCTTTCCCTTTTCAAGGTAAGACACGCCCTTGCATGTGCTACCAGGCAACGAGAGAATGCCACAGTTCCCACAGCTGTCCACGCGGCTGGGATTCGGGGCCTGGTCGAATCTGAGGGCCTAGACTCAGTCCTGGAAATCGTGGCGGTGTTGTGGTGTACTTTGGTTTTTGGTTTGTATTGGGGGGCTGAATCAACGTAAAATGCCAACCAGCGGCCCCGGATTCGGTGCAGACGCGGTTCGGTGCGGCGGGATGGGAAGAGGCCTCACTTCTTTGAGTGTGTTTGACTCGGGCTCCGACCGTGGTCTTGGCTCGAACAAGCTTCACTGCGGCTGGTTCAAAATCTGGGAGAGCAGCTGAACGCCGTGTGCTCCGGTCCGTGGAACGGTGATCGGCGATTAGATGACGGAGACATGCCCAAATGGTTGCTACACAGAAGAGAAAAAAGACTGGCAGAGTCACGATGTTCTTTCTTTTTTCAGGGACCTGTGGATCATTATGTACAGCAGGGATGAGAGCTCCCTCCCCGTCAAATAAATAATTAAGGCAAAATAAAAACTTAACGTGAACCCTGGTCTCCGGGAGTCCAGCCCCTATTTTTCCCGCAACTTTGGTTCACAGGCGGAGACTGAGAGGGTGAGAGGGGGCCCATCATTGCGCCCATTTTTGCTGACAGCGTGGACGCGCTAAGACGTGGCTGGAGGTCTGTTTTCGGGAAAGCTTCGCCTAGCTGAATCGTCTAGCTGGAGCCAATCGCGTGGCGTTCGTGGAGAGATGTTGGACGAAGGATTCCTCGCTTCAGGCTGTACAAGCAGAAATATCGATGCAGGTGAGATAGGTCGGCTGACTGCGCGGCACGTTCAGCCGAACGGGATGACGGGAGAGGGCAGGGCACATCAAATTGCCTCCGTGCCGCCGTTGGGACGTCCCGCGGTTACGGAGCGGCCTCCGAGACTGCGCCGTGCCACGCTACCCCGGCAACTTGAAAGGCTATTAGGATGGTCGCTTGTTAACCTTGGCTTTCTGCTGTGGCCCCTTGCCTGATAAGAGAAGAGCCGGTCAAAACGTCTCAGCTTGCTTCAATTGATAGCAAAGATGAACCGACGCAAGGAATACTCTCCCCTCTTCAGATCGAGTCTCCATCCGCCTAGCATGTCACGAAAACGCAGCTCCAAGGATCGACGTCCGAACAAAGAATCTGTAAAGAGCGCTTATGATGATCATCCGCCATTCAACGTGTTTGGTAACAATACGTCATTTTGTTTGCTCAATTCACCAACACAAGCTGTACAGCTGCTGAAGACATCCGAATCCCTGTAACAATCACCCAGTCTTCGGTCCCGGTTCCACGCAAACCTGCAGGGCTCAACCAACACGGCCACTCCATTCGACAAAGTCTGTAAGTGCCGTGCCATCGCCCAGAAGCCGTTATCTGCCAATCACCATCGACTCAATGGCCGTGTGAACCGTGTCTAGCGCTCACCAGCAAACATGGCAGACCCAGCCGGTAGCGACACACGGGTCTCCCGCCGGAATGGGGGTCAACCCCGCACAGTGGTGATGTCGCGTTAGAGACAGGCTGCCAAATTTGCCGAAGCTTTTTAGCTAGGGCGTTCTCCCTGTCCTTAGGATCCCCTTCTCTCTGTTCGATTTAACGTTTTGTTTTACAGCAGAAGTGACGTGCTTCCATCCTCGGCCGGGCCCAAAATGCCGGGTCACGATGTCTTTGGAGCCTTTAAGGGCTTCGTTTCGATGGCGCCGTCAGCGGTCGCCGTTGCGGGTGCGCTGGTCCTGTTGGCGGTGTGGTATTTCAGAACATGGTATCGCCTGAGGCACATTCCAGGCCCGACGCTCAATGCGATTTCGATTTTGCCGATGCAGCTCATGACTCGGGGAGGGAAGTTGAGCTTCATGTTGAAGGAGCTGGGTGACAAGCATGGTACGACAAAGATCATGGCCACTTGTGGAAAGCCTTGTTGACACCGCGTTTGCGTAGGTCCTCTGGTTCGCGTTGGCCCCAACGAGGTCCTTTTCGGAGATGCAGATACCTACCGCAAAATCTCGGCAGTCCGCTCAGACTTCACAAAGGGACCGTGGTATGAGCTGGCCAAAGTGGTCCCGGACCAGCACAGCCTGTTCTCAATGAGAGATGATGAGCAACGGAAAGAGTTGAGGGCGAAGCTGAGTGAAGGCGTTCGTCCAATCGTACCTCCAAATTTAACATGACAGTACACTGATTATGGCTGCAGTATGCCGGTCGAGACAACGGTGGTTTCGAGTCTGGGGTGGACAAGATGGTTACCCAATTCGTTGACCTCGTCGAATCAAAATACGTCTCCACGGCCACCGACTACCGGCCGATAGAATTCTCCCACAAGTCCCAGTACTTTGCGCTGGACGTCATCGGTCAGCTCTCATTCGGCGAGGCGCTGGGCTTCCTAGCAAACGATGAGGACCTCTGGGGTTATGTTTCGACGAACGATCAGGTCTTTCCAGCACTTGCACTCATGCTGAACATTCCGCATGTAGGCATCATGATGCAGCGCTGGCCATTCAGCAAGTTGCTGCCATTTTCCAGTGATGAGTATGGGTTTGGCAAGCTAATGCAGTATGGTATCCCCTTTTGGGCTTCAAAAGAGCTGTGCTAATTGTTGTCAAGTGTTGCTCAGCGATTGGCTGACAAGAAAATTGAATCTGAAGAAGACTCAAAAGGGACCATGGTCCGACATCACCTACGTAATGGTGTCACATACAAAGAGCTCCTGGCGGAGATCTTTCTTGAGTTGTATGGCAACCACTTGCACAAGCAGAACAGTTCACTGATACCATGAGCAGCATCGCCGGCTCAGATTCAACCGCCACAGCTATTCGCATGACCATGCTCTGCCTCCTCAACACCCCCGCCACCCTAAACGGACTCCGCCGCGAGATCGACACAGCAATTGCCCAGGGCCGGATCAGCTCGCCCATCACCGACATCGAGGCCCGCGATTTGCCCTATCTTCAAGCTGTGATTAAAGAAGGTATCCGCATGTACCCTCCTTCAACGGGTCTCAACTACAAGCAGGTCGCGAAAGGCGGGGCTGAACTCTGCGGTTACTTCCTCCCAGAAGGAACGCAATTAGGCGTCAACGTTCAGAAGTTGATGAGGTCCAAGGAGACCTTTGGCATTGACGCGGACGTGTTCCGCCCGGAAAGATGGCTTGAGGCCGCTGCCGATGAGGAACGGTTCAAGGAAATGGGCGACGTCGTCGAACTCGCCTTCGGTTATGGACGGTTTCAATGTCTTGGTAAGACCATTGCGTATATGGAGCTGAACAAGATCTTTGTCGAGGTGAAAACATTGTGTCCGTCGTCTCGGGAGAATATTCAATTGAACTAACTTGGTCACATAGTTACTTCGGAGGTTCGACTTCGCGGTGGTCAAGCCTCAAGAGCCGCTGAACCTTTACGATGCGGCGTTTTGGGTTACGACGGACTTTTGGCTACGTGTTACTCGACGACTTGATACCGATCCTTAGTCAATCATAGCGATAGAAATGGCGATGCGAGAGGCAGAGATGCGAAGTATAAGATCCTCTCACAAGTCACAGGCCTTGGAGAAAAGGGCTCATGGCCAGATGTAATCTAGTTATAATATCACATCATACCTAGCACCTAATGTCTTAAGTCGGAACTAATTGCTCACGAGATGTGCAAAAACAGAAGACAAGCTGGTCGAAAGAAGTTACAGGTGTCACTGTAGCAGCATATCAAAAAAGCAAAAGATAACGATGTCAATCGCTGACGGGAATTGAGCCCGACGTGGGGGTCGAACCCACAACCTTGAGATTAAGAGTCTCACGCTCTACCGATTGAGCTAGCCGGGCAGATGGGAACATCTGCCTTGATTGTTGGATGGCACGGCGCGGAAGTTGCTCAAGAAGCGCGCGCGTGATGAAAATTTTTCATGTTGGTGTGGGCCACGGCGTTTCGGGTCCCACTCGGTCGACGTGGTCGGCGCGGAGCTCCGGGCTGGTTCCGAGCCGGTGTGGGCCTTGTTCGGGGTCCGTGTGTCCTTGGTGCGGGCTCGTGGCTCTGATGTGCCGGGAGAGTAGGCCGAAATATTGGCGTCAGGTGGGCGGGGTGGCCCCGGAGCCTGGAACGGAGCGGGGACAGGGCCCGAAGTTACTGGATTTTGAAGGCCTCAGACCGCCGGAGCCTGGAACCACTGGAGACTATCTTAGGTGGTGGATCTAAGCAGTTCGGCTGCAAGGTGCGAAGAAGCGGCCTCGGCTTGAACCTGTATCCAACGCTCCGACTGATACACCAAGAGATAAGCAGTGACTGTCTGCTCCCAAACATCATGCGGAGTCTGCTTTGCGTACGACTGTATGCAAGATTGTCTAGGCCTGCTGTTGAGTCTAAATCGAGCAAAGATGCTTAATGTGTAAGCTGATGGAATTATTGCGACCTCCTCCAAGTGGACAGTTCGGACAGCAACCACGCCATCTTCGGTACTCCAGCCAATGATCTGGGAAGGAAACTCGGCGTCGAAAGACTCATTGAGAATTGCGTAGTGTCGCCAAGCCGATTTTGACAGGCCTGAAGTGCATGACGAATTCCCTCGCCGATGCCTCGTCACCGGAACGCGTGGAATGATGATGTGAAAGGAATTATGCACCGCGGTGGGCAACCCGAGCAATACCGACCCAGAGGCATCGCGGGGTTGGGGTACACAGATATACGGCATTGGATGGCGGGGGAGGGGTCAACGTCCACGTCTTGCACCAAAAGTCCTTGTGTGCCATCAGCTTATCCTCGATGAACGGAGCTACCCCGCCAGAGGCTCTTGGCAACATGCATCTTCTAGCACGAACAAGGCAGGTCGACCGCTCTTCCAAGCGTTCCGAGCACTGCAAGCCGTTTTCCCACGCCGTATCACTGCCTACTTTCTTGTTCACGTCGCCCGAAACATTGGAAAGCTCCACGCCTGTCTGCATGAACATCGCTAGCTTCCTGTACCGTTCTCCAAATGCCGAGACTTTTTAGGCAGAATGACGACTTCCGTCTTGTTTGTTGACTGCGAAAGACATGCAGATGAACCTGCAATCCGTGTTCTTACCCCGATAGACACCATGATCGTGCATGTAAAATACTGTGTAGCTTTTGGCTGGCGCCACTTGCTAGCAAGGTACCAAGTATTCTTACCCAGCATTTGCCAACGGCGTGGAGCAATGGCATCACCGGTCTTACTGGCTGTTTGTGGACGGTGGCATACGCCCAGGCAAGCTCGACATCACATCAATAGGGCACCCAGATGGCCCGTCCACAAGCCCATTATCAATCTGCAATGGGTATGCCCAGACATGCATGCCCCTCTTGTCTGTCGATCTAAATAGCTATAAAAGCTACTCCCCCTCCATCTGCCCCTCCGGTCGACGCCTAGACGATCACTTCTGGTGCTCTTGCAATTGAGTCTCAACCGAGCTTGTGCTACAACTGCCCAACATGCGCAGTCAAATTTCAATAGCCCTGGCATCCGCCGCTGTGGTCTTAGCCTGCCAGCGCGACCTACTTCTCGAACAGCGACACACCCATCGCAGGCGGATCACCAAGCGCGCGGACGACCAATGGCCACCGGTCTTGACAGAAGAAGAGACCATTCTAGTAAATGCGTTCGACAACGTCACCATTGACGAGTGGTCCGACTACTACGGCCACCAAGTCAAGCTCGCGGGTCTCGGCAAAGAAGCCGCCGAGTGGACCGCTGAGCAGTGGAACAAGAACGGCTTCGACGCGCATCTCAACGAATACCACGTCTACCTGAGCTACCCGGTGCATGCTTCGCTGCAGATTACATACGCCAATGGCTCGACGGAAGATGTCAGGCTCGACGAGGACGTCCTGGAAGAGGACGATGTGACGGGCAGACCCGACAATCAGCCTACTTTCCATGGGTATTCTGCGTCTGGAGATGTTACTGGCGAATATGTCTATGTTGGGTCAGTAGTTCGCCATTTGAGGCATCATGGAGCTGTGCTGACTTTCGGCGAAGACGAGGTTCTCAAGCCGACTTCGACCGCCTCGTCGAGCTCGGTGTTGAACTCGAAGGCAAAATTGCGCTGGCCAGGTACGGCGGACTCTTCCGAGGCCTAAAGGTCAAAAATGCGCAGGATCATGGCATGATTGGCGCTGTAATCTTCACAGATCCAGCCGACGATGGGAACATTACCGTCGCCAATGGCTATGAGTCGTATCCCAGTATGGCAACCTCGAACGCGTCGTCGAAAAGGTACTGACGATTGGCTTTGCAGATGGTCCTGCCAGAAACCCAAGCGCCGTTCAGAAGGGTTCCGTTCTATTCCTTTCCACGAACCCCGGCGATCCGACCACGCCGGGCTACGCATCTCACGAGGGAGTTGACCGCGCTGACATGTCTCCCGTCACCCCCAAGATTCCCTCCATCCCCATCTCCTATGCCTCCGCCGAGCCTCTGCTGCAGGCTTTAAACGGATTCGGATCCACTTCGAACGAAGTCAACCGTACAATTTGGGCGGGAAGCTTGGATGCAGATTATAGCACTGGTCCCGCTCCTGGCGTCACGCTACACCTTGACAACTTGATGGAAGGAAAAATAACTCCAATTTGGAATGTCATTGGCCACATCAACGGCACCAACCCCGATGAAACCATCGTCATTGGAAACCACCGCGATACCTGGATGATCGGTGGCAACGGAGACCCCAACTCTGGCTCCGCTATCCTCGTCGAATTCACCAAGGCGATTGGAGTCTTGCGCTCCAAGGGCTGGGTCCCGAGGAGAAACATGCAAGTGTCTTTCTGCCTACGTCGGCGCTTTCTCTAACTTTGCTTAGTGTCATCGCTTCTTGGGATGCTGAGGAGTACGGCCTCATCGGCAGCACGGAATGGGTCGAGGACAACGTCAACTGGCTGACCGAGAGTGCCGTCGCGTACCTGAATATCGACGTTGCCGTTTCGGGTCCTCGCCCTAATCTAGCAGCTACGCCCGAGTTGCATACACTTGCCACTGATACCTTTAAGAAGGTCATCTACCCCAACTTTGGCGGTTTCAACATCAGTCTTTACGACGCGTGGGAAGAAGCGTCCGGCGGTCTTGTAGAGCCACTGGGAAGTGGCAGTGACTACACTGCCTTCCTACACAGAGGCATCAGTTCGGTAAGTGGTGCCGGCTCACGGGTGTCACAATACCTTACTGACACCGCAACAGCTAGACGTTGGTTCCGGCGGCGGCGCAACAGATCCAATTTGGCATTATCATTCTAACTATGACAGCTACGCTTGGATGTCCAAATTTGGCGATCCTGGCTTCCTGGTTCATGCGGCAATCGGCCAATATCTTGCCCTTCTCGCCTACCACTTGGCGGACGACGAGGTCCTGCCAATTGACCTGCCGAACTACGCCTCAGAACTGAGCTCTTACCTCGAAGATTTGACAGAATTCATCGCTTCTGAGGGCCAGGAGCTCGACTTGTCTGAGTTGTCGGACGCCATTGACGAGTTCGCCAAGCGAGCCGAGGAGGTCAAGGCCTTGGAGCAACTTGCAGTCACAACCAACGATACAGATCTCATAACCACGGTGAACCACAAGTACCGTGACTTTCAGCGTGGCTTTATCAGCCAGGGAGGCCTGCCCAATCGAGAGTTTTTCAAGCATGTCGTCACTGCCCCTGGCTTGGATACCGGGTATGCTGCCGTCCTGTTCCCAGGCATTACTGAGGGGGTGCAGTATGGAGATGGTAACCTCACGGTAGCTGAGGAATGGGTGTCTAAGACGGCGCGCGGTATCCTTCGCGCCGCCGAGATCATCAAAACGTGATAAACAAGAATGGTTTTTGCTTCGTCTTCTAGCATAGGGGTAAGGAGTTTGGAATACCCGGCGGTTTGGAGAAAAGGCGAGAAGCCAACTTGTGAAGCCCTCATTTACCTCAGCGTAATAATGCTGCTCGGCATTCAATAAACGTAATAATTATTACCAACCATGATAAGCTTTGCTACGCGGACGAATAGTGACAACGAGGACGACAAGAATGGCAAGACGGAGAACGACAGGGACAACGATGATGACAGAGACGACAATAACGATAAGAACAGTAATAACAATGAGAGCATTAGGTATAGTAGGGGCAAAATAGTAGCCCGTCTAAAGAGCGGGACTTAAGAGATGTAGAGATACACGAAGAGGATCACAAAGTACAAAAGCAGTTGCAGTCATCATATGTATTTCATTGAATCGTCATAACATATAGGAACCCGAAACTCCGGACCACGCCCTTTCAGCCGAGGACGTTTACTAGCCCATTTGGCTTAGGACATCCTTGAATCCAAATCATCCGACATACACTTTCATCTCTTTATTGACGACCACCAGGGCGTCTGTTCTCGATGTTCAATACAGTATCAATGAAGCTACGCTTGAGCGTACTCTTCTTCCTGGCCGCAAGCAATTGCGATGTCTTCAAGATGTTCTTGATCTGGCGACCATTAAGCGAAAGCGTAGCAAAATCATCCAGATCCTCTTCCGTGACCTCGCTCTTCAGCGTCGCGCCCTCGAGGAAGTTGCGCCAGATCTGGCGGCGCGAGTCGACCGTCAGGTCGGGGTACTCGAGCGAGACGTGGATACGCGACTGGAACGCCAGGTCGATGTTATCGACGCGGTTCGTGGTCATGAAGAGGATGCCCTCGTAGTACTCGAGCGTGCGCAGGAAGATGGAGACGACCTTGTTCCTCTCGAGGTCGTGCGTCGAGCGCGCCTCGAGGAAGACGTCGCACTCGTCGAGGAGAAGGATGGCGTTCCAGCGGGCAACGAGCTCGAGGATGCGCGAAAGACCGTTTTCGACCTCCCAGGGCTGGGAGCCGAGGTCGCCGGAGCTGAGGGTGTGGAGAGGAACCTTGAGGTTCTCGGCGACGGCTTCGGCGGTCAGGGTCTTGCCGACACCAGGGGGGCCAGAGAGCAGGCAGATGATGCCCTTGCCCTTGCCAGAGATGACGTCGTCAAAGGAAGAGCCCTCGAGCTGCGACTCGGAGAAAGCGAGGATGAGCTCCTTCTGATCCTCGGGCAGGACGAGCTTGTCGAAGGCGTTGTTGTTCCATGTAATCTCCTCCACCGTCTCGACAAAGAAGTCGAGCCACTTCTTCAGCTTAAGAGAGTACCCGCGCGTCCTCGAGCGCGCGAGCATCTGGTGGTACGGCGTCAGCTTCAGGTTGCCGTCCTTGCCGAGGCCATGCGAGCGCTTCCACGCCTGCAGCGCCTCGAGGTCCTTGGCCGCCCAGTCGTCGAGGTAGCGCGGGTAGTAGGGGCTGTAGCGGTTGAAGGAGCTGATGTCGACGACGATGCGCCCGTCGACCTGGATCGGGACCTCGTTGCCCTCGCGGTCCCAGGTGATGGCCGTGCCGGAGTACTGCTTGTAGTGGTGGCCCGCGAGCTCCTCAAAGATTTGGCCGCGGCGGATGAGGCCCTGGCGGACCTTGTCCTTCTCTGGGTGGAAGGCCCACGGGTAGGCGTTGAGGCCGGTGATCTTCTTGGTGCCGAGGAACTCGGGGACCTTGATGCTCTCGCCGTAGCGGCCGAAGGTCTTGCCGCCGTAGTCAACGCAGTCGGCGGACAGCTCGAGGTACTTGCCGCACTGCGTGGCCTTGTACTCGGTCTCCTCGAGCTCGAAGGCGGATAGAGGGCCCTTGTGGGCGGAGAGCACGATGGCACCGGGCTGGAAGATCATCCAGAGGTGCTCGAAGGTGATGACGCCCTTGGCGACGTAATCCTCGAACACCTTGATCGCGTCGCCGATCTCGTACTGGAGGATGTCGTACAGGATCTTGAGGTGCTCCTTGGTCTTGTCATCCAGGCTGGGCTTCTTCATGTACTTGCAGAGCTCAGTCCAGCGGTGCACGAAGGGGTGGAAGGGGGCATCGAACTCGAGGCGCTCGAGCTCGCAGGCGACGCCGGTGTAGCCGTCAAGGATCTCGCCCAAGGCGGTTTTGAGCCAAGGGGACTGGATGACGATGGAGTGGGCCTCGAGCTTCTTGCGAGAGTCTGAAGACTTGACGTTGCGGACTACGACGGCATACTGGGCCGTCTCCTCGTTCTCGGCGGCCTCGTGGACGTCTTCGGGGTACTTGTCGACCCAAGTCCAGTTGCCATCACTGTCTTTGGGGGATGCGTAGATGTTCTTCGTGGAAGAGATGGAGCCGGTAGGGGCGAGAGGCTCCTTGGGCTTGTCTTTCTCGTCTTTCTCGTCAGAGGCCGCTTCTGTTGAAGGATCATCATCGGACTTGGCTTCGTTGTCCTTGGCGGCCTCGCCGTTTGTGGTAGTCTCGCCGTTTGTTGTGTGACCGTTCGTGGTCTTGGTCTCTGATGTGCCGTTGGTCTCCTTGGTGGTCGTGGTGTCATCGACCATAGTCAGGCCCAAGGCCTCAATTGTGCTGGGTGCCATTGTGTCTGAAGTGTGTTTCTCGCAATGAACGAGATGATTAGGATGCTGATGATCCAACACAAGAGAAATCTGTGAAGGGTGCCCCAGATGTATTTATCTCTTCATCGCAATGGACCACGTAAGGAACAAAAGTGTAGAAACTCCATAACACCAATCCTATCAATGGCGAACGCACCAGCTAAGCGCTAGGCGGCTCATATTTCCTCAGTGGCTGCCTCATCAGGGGTTGTTGATGCCTCTTGTGTGGCAGTGAGTCACCGAGGTTCACGGTGCTCCCAGCGAAACGCAGTGTTTCGTTTGAAAATCGACTGATGCAAAGTCCCTCGCTGAGGCCGCTGCTGCCTGCGTGGAACGGATCGCGTAGCTTCGTAGCTGGGGTTTATCAGACAGAGAGGCCAATGAGGTTAGCAGCGTAAGCACTAGGACGGGAAGAGTGCCGCGACAGCGCAAGGCAGAAGAGCCGCCGGAGCCCAAAGCTTGTCGATAGGATTCAGGCCGCCAGCATTTCACCGTGTTGCTCATTCGCCGATCTGTGGCGAACGTGGGGTAAAGACCCTAAATATCACTGTGGAAAGTTTCAATGTTCAGAATAGTTGAGCATTGTCTCTGGTCTGAACGAGAGTGAGAAGATTATCTTAGACTAGTGAGGCCTCATGAAGGATTCAATGAGGGGAAGAAGAAGAAGTAAGCCCCTGTTTACCGCTGCAGGCAGCCCGACTCAGCCCCCAAAATTCCCCAAAATTCAAGGAATCAAGCGAGACGGGAACCACCGATCTCTATCGGTCCCCTGTCAGGACTGAGCGGCACGGGCTGCAGACAGGACGTTGCAGCGCCACGACGACCCTGCAAGGGCGCTGAGCTACAGTCCGTTGCGTTGACAGCGTCCACCCCGCAGTTTTTAGCCCGAAAAAGGCAAAAAAAGGGGCTTTTTACCAAAAAACCACCAAATTACCCTAAACTTCGTTCACTAATACCTCTATGCGTACGTAATGCGCGTAAATAAAAAATATATCAATTAATAGCCCTCAGTTAGGTAATTATAATGATATCTTTTTTATTCTCGCGCATTACGTACGCATAGAGTTATTTAAGTATAAAGTTAAGGCTGATTTTAAGGGGTTTTTTAAGCGGATAGTTCAACGCAACGCGCCGGGGGTTTCGTTTTTTCTTTTCAGCGTTGCGTAAGTGTCCACTAACCTAGAAACCCCCTTAAAACCCCCTAAACTTCACACTTTAATAACTCTATGCGTACGCAATGCGCGTAAATAAAAAATATATCAATCGATAGCCCCCGACTAGGTGATTATAATGATATCTTTTTTATTTACGCGCATTACGTACGCATAGAGTTATTAAAGTGTGAAGTTTAGGGGGTTTTAAGGGGGTTTCTAGGTTAGCGGAAAATTTCCCTTCCGGGTCAAACTTGGGGGCGGACGCTGTCAACGCAACGGACTGTAGTGGAAACGACTGCCTGTTGAGGCTTTCGTGGTGTTGCAAGAGACACGTGTAAGACGTATGCTGTGACTTCGCCTGCTTTTGCATACTACATAGGCTGCAGAGATCAGCTTCAGGAGATTGGCAGAAAAAAAAAAAAAAACTTCATGTTTGAGTTGAGTCCTTACAAAGCAGGTAAGGTATGAAAAGATATGGTAAGCTATGTACAAGTTGAAGCAAATGAACCCTCCCGCTGACAACTTAACCGTCGCAGTAACGTACTATTTCCAACGTTCATACACCGCACTTTGCTTCCATCACAACCGAGAACTTGCCCGCATAATCCCCCGCGTTCATTACTTCCAATTGCTGCTGACAGTCACGGCAGTTGCACATCCCGTCGGCACAGTGTAGGACCGGTTCGGGTCACTCTCCCAAGTCACGGTTCCGCTTGAGGCCACCTTGATGAACTTGTACTGGAACGTCGTCCCGGCCGGCAGCGTCACCGTGTAAGTCCACAACGGGTTCGAGCTCGTGTACTGCGACGCCGACAACGCCGGGGCCGAAGCCGCATCCCAGTTGCCCAGCGCCGCGATTGACCCCGCAACCTTGATCGTCTGGCCTGGCACCGTGGTGACAAGCTCGTTGAAGGTGACGGCGACACTGCTGGCGGCCGTGCAGCTGCCGCTCGTCGCTGTGGCCGCGGCGCTGGTGGTGCGCGTCGAGGTCACCGGGTTGCTGCCACCGCTGCCGGAGATGGCGATGTCGGCGCAGGTGAGGTAGACCTGGCCGGTCTGGAAGGAGTTCCAGCGCAGGGAGAGCAGAGTGTGGTTGGAGACGTAGTCTGGGATCTTGATCTTCTTCGTGACGGTATAGCCGCCTGCGATGGAGGTGTAGCAAGATCCTAGGGCCGAGTTGTCGACGCCCTGGCATGCCCTGCGGCTGTCTGCCTGAAAGGCGTTGCAGGTGAACCAGTCGTTCCTCCAGCACGCCTGCCCCGATGTGCAGTCAGGGCTGTAGTTGCAGGTCTGTCCAGAGACATCGGTGCAGGGCAAAGTGCCGGCTTGGAAGCAGTTCTCGGCCGCTTGCTTCTCATCGTCCGTGGGGATATATCCTGGTGTCAGGAACTTGTCGACGAGGGCTTGGTCCTGGCAGATGCGGTAGCTGAACATGCCGCCGTGGTCGCCGTTGTTATCGACGCACCACTGGACGTCTACAACTTGCCCCCTCGTGTATGTGACCACGGGGGAGTTGCCCCAGTTGGTGGACGGCTGGTTGTAGTCGACACTGACGCGGGCATTGTAGCCGCAAGGTCCACTGCGGCCTACGGTTGCGGCGGTGAGATCCGGCCAAGCAGACACGGGCTCGCGGATGGTGCATTCAGGGCAGGTATCTATGCCAGCCTTTGACTGTTAGTCTCAGATGAAAGCAGATTCAAAATAGTTGAGTATTGTACCTCGTGGCCGAGACGCGTGCGACTAGAAGGGATTGTCAGGTAGCCATGGCCGTAAACGGTCCCAAGTAGGCTGGAGACAGCCAAGGTTGTCGAGAACTTCATTTTGGCAAAGTTCAGGCAAAGACTGTTACGATTGAGGCCACGAAGGCAAGACGTGAATCAACAGATAGGGCGCTTGATGGACGTCTGCAGTCTCATGGCCATCTCATTAGGATGAGGCCACAGTCTTGAATTTATACACATTTTTTCCGCAGACCCTCGTGCCATCGTGAACCATACCACCGCACGATGCCACTCTGCGAGTCCAAGTCGAGGTGCTCCCACCGGCCGTCATCACAAGCAGCGCCGAAGTACCTCCAACCGAGACGGGCCTACCCGCACCTGTTTCCCCGGATCTAAGCTCGGAGTGGAAGTCCGGGGGCATCCCCAAATGACATGCAGGTGATGGCGGGGTAGAGAGTTCTGTTAGTGCCGGCTGTCATATCTCCAACCGGAAACCAGCGCGGGGTGAAAAGGGCCGTTGTGTGGCCGCATTACCCCTCCAAGATCGAGTTGGCCGAGACCTTGAAGGCCCTTGACGTCGCTTCCTGCCAAGTTGTGCTCCTGTCAAACTCCTGCAGGAATGACACCCGACACATGCTTGAGGCGGAGTTTGGCGGAGTCGAGGTGGCATCCCGCCCTGCCGATCAGATGACTTGTCGAGCTGGGTGGCTGCTCGAGTTCACGACAACCTCACTATTGAAGAGAAGGCCCGAAGATGGTCGATTCATCACACTTGAGAGGTGGAAGTTTCGATGGTTCGGGCTGAGGGGCGGTGATGGCTTCGCGAAGCTGCCGAGGAATGTCCGCTTTCTGACGCCATCGACGAAGGTCTAGGTCGCTATCTTGACTATCACATGATAGGTCTCCGTGAGATTATTTGTGACATTCATAATAAATGCCTTTTAGAATGGACCTCGGGCAGTATTCGGACGAAATGCAGCTTCGCTGGAAGTTTGCGGATGGACAGGCGCTGGAATCGTATAATACGGTCAACACCATGTTGGTATCGTTGACATGATCGGCAATTGTTCCTTCGTGATGCTCTATGTCGGCCGAGCCCAGAGTAAGGGGGGATATCTTTATGATCAATTGATGACGATTATCTGATCAATCATCTGAAGGTGTCGGGAAGTGGGAAGTGGTCATCTTTATCCCGCCGGCCAGTTTTGTTCAGAAATCAGCTTGCATCACAGAACCCATGTCCAGTCATCTCAGGGTGAGCCACCGGAAAGCTGCAGTCAAACTTGACTCTAAACCTAACCAAGAGGCTTTTCTACTGGGGCTTATTCTCTCCACAGTTCATCTGATATGAAATGGCAGTGACGGAACACCAATCGGTTTGGCCCCGTCTATGCTTTTGCGGAGTCCAGACTGCGCCAACAGCTAGACCAATCCTTATTTCTGACAACGCAGCATGTGCCGTCGAAGATATCGCTGCCCTTCCAAGCTGCCGCGAAGCCAGCAAGGAAATGAACGACAAATTTTCAGGTAGACAGGGGTCGCATAGTGCTGTTGCGGGAACCCCGACGTCTTTACCGCGAGCCCTATGGGGCTTAAATTGCTGCTGCGAGTCAGTTTACCGCAACAACAGCCAACGATCGGGAGAGCCGACCACTTTAAGCATCGCCGCAGGGACATTAATAGCATCTCTTAAATGAAGGACGTTATGGAACCGCCAAGCCACACTGACCCGGCATATGTAGAATTGTTTTTGATGAAGTCGTGATTCTCCTGTATTTAACAAGTTGGGATGTCCTGTAATTGAGCGAACCTACTACAACCTCGGACATCACACATACCAATACTTAAAGTCAATCGCTACCTAATACACACTCGTTCAAGAACGAAGCCCGAAAGTCGCGGACATAATCAGCACATCGGCCCCCAACAAAACAGTTCCACCACATCCCCAAACCAACCACAACCCGCCGATCTCGAGCACAGTTCATAATGCCTGTCATCTACAGCGAGCCCCTGCGTCACCNACACCCCGCCGATCTCGAGCACAGTTCATAATGCCTGTCATCTACAGCGAGCCCCTGCGTCCCCTCCTCTCCGCCCGCGATGGCGACGACGACGGCGATGGAGGCTTCCACATGCCCGGCACGGTGATGGCCATCATCATCGTCTGCGTTTTGGTGTTCGTCGGCGGCCTCGGTCTCTGCTGTTGCTGCTGCCGCCGCCGGAAGCGCAAGGGAAGCTCCGGCAGTGGCAAGGACGATGGCAGCGGCAGCAACAACAACGGCGGCTTCGACCCGACGAAGTGGATCAAGAAGGCCGTGAAGAAGACTACAAAGAAGATCAAGAAGATGTTCATGAAGAAGAACAAGAACAAGAAGGAGAAGGACGCCACTGCCAACGAATCAGTTCCGTACGGTCAGGGCACGCACCCCGGTTTCGGAGACAACGAGAGAGGATACAACAGACTTGATGCGCACGCGGAGGAGGAGACCGTTGGAATGACGTCGCCTTATGGCCAGAGGAATTGAGGGGGAAGGCTAGGGCATGTGTGTGATGACGTATGAGAAGAAGAATGGTCATGAAATTAATAACTAAAACTTTCTTTCTTCTTTCTTCCCTTCTAACTTTTCATTGAAGACGCTACTCTGTGTTATGATGCATATGCGAAAATGCTCTGTGGACTTTACTTCTTGTTGCCGCCGCCACCGCCGCCGCCGGTGTTACCTCCAGTATTACCTCTGCTTCCACCACTGCTGCTTCCTCCCTTGTCCTTGCCATGACCGCCATGGCTGAGGGATCCCTTTCCCGCCTTGGGATCCTGCCAAGGAGGGTTAGTAGGGTCATGGTAGTAAATGGGAGTTCTGCCTCCAGAAGACATAGTCGTGGATTTACGAATTGATTTTTGAAGGGAAATTGTGAGGTTCAAGTGGTGCTTTTATCGCTGTGTTTTACTATCATGAACATCGCAATCGCGTTTCTCTCGCGGCTTTATATATCAGCACCAGTTCGAAGACATTATGGTGAATATCCAGCCCCGGGACCAGTTCCACCGCTGTGAACAGCATTGAATATCGTAGCCACCAAGGAAAATCAGGGCGATCACCATAGCACTTGACTTCACCAGTCATCGGGCTGTCCTCAAGCTCCGTTGTTGCGCAACTTCACCGTGAACGAGCACTTAGCTTAGAAAGCCATTGCTCCACGCAATATTCGCAAATCACTTGAGTTTGCAATATCGCATCGGCTTTGGATACACTACTGACGCTGTGTGGAATGCCAGTCACCGCAAAGAATGTTTCATGTGTATATGGTGTTGACTGGTATGCTACCTAAATGAAGACGGTGCCTGAATTAAGTCAATACCACCAACGTGCTTTTACCGAGTTACGTGTTGGCTATGTTAGACCCAAACCACCATAAGCTACTCCCTGCCCAACAACCATTTCATTCCCTTCATCGTATTGGACGCTAGGTCCGCAGGAACCTCCTTAGGCGCAAAGATAGTCCAACCCTGGTGGCCCCAGTCGAGATAGTTATCCACCCTTACTTCAACCCCGTTATCCTGCAAAACCTTGGCATAGATCAACCCGTCGTCTCTCAAAGGGTCTCTGTCGCCGACATGGATATAGGCTTTGGGAGACTTAGGGATCGCCTCAGGGTCGTTGATCGGCGAGTACCATTTCGATCTGACATCCGCATCATATGCATGCTTTACAGATTCAATGACGGCCGTTGTAAACGTCTCACTCCACGTTGCGTTGTCCTCTCGGGAGGTCCATTCTGAAGCATACTTCCCGGGGACGATATCTTTGCTGAAAATGAGCGGGATCCCCAGCATCACACCGGTGATACCAAGACCTTCAACGCCGGATCTCTGTGCGACGACTGCAGAGATGTTTCCTCCTGCAGACCAGCCACCGATCACGAAACCCTTGGTGATGTCTGCGCCAAAGTGGCTGGCGTTCTTGGCAAGCCATTTGGCAGTCTCCCAGCCGTCCATGACGGCTTGAGGAAACTTGTGCTCGGGCGCCAAGCGGTAAGTTGCGTTGACGACAACAGCGTCAAACTCAAGGGCAAATTCACGAGCAGGCCGGGTTGTTGGCTCGACGCCCGCCACAATGAAGCCGCCGCCAGGCCACAAGAGAATGAGAGGCTTTCCGCCGTTGGTTTCGTTTACACCGCGATGTCGCACGATTTGGAGGTCGATTTTGTAGCCATCAGGAAGAGTAGCCACGTCGCAGAACTCTTCGAGTGAGGGGTCCAGGGGAGGCAGGGCCGCCAGAAGAGTTTGTATCAGTTGAGGACGGGTTTCGCGAGACTTGATAAACCCTTCCATCTTTGAAATTGAGTGAAACTGGGATACTTAGGGTACTTTAGACGGCAACACTTGGCAGGTGGAAAGAAAGTTGAGAAGTTGGTTTAGATGGGACGAGAGTCTCTCCAAAACCCCGACTTTCACGCAACACAACTCAAGTCCCCCGCATTCGCAATGTTGTGGGTCCGGATATGCGCCCGGGACGATCTGTCGGCGGCAACTGGCCGAAATTGGGTCGGGATTGTGTCTTCAAGACCGAGGTTGCGGATGCCGACCCGTATTTGGCATATTTTTTCCGCGACAAGCCGCGACGGACCATTCGCTGTGAAAGGCAGAGGCAACACTTCAAGCAGCGAAATATTGGGAAAGTCCTTCATTTGCAGTAGTACTGGAATGCTTCTTTTCATTCCAAATCCAGATCTGAGCGCAAATATGCTATTTTAAACCCTTTTATCCGCCAATGATTACCCAAGGGTGGGAGTCTCCATCCCGTTGCGCCAGTTGAATACAACACTTTAAACATGCATTCATTTGAAGAACCCCTCGTTTTCGACTCTCATTCCTTGCTAATGTCGAATCTCTATTAGTGCTGGGATATGTCTCTGCTTCTTGGAATAGATTGCCACACGCTAGTAATTGCTCCATTCTATTGCCTTGCAAAGCCAGCACTAGTACTCGTTCTGAAGACCGCTTCTTGTAACTCGCAATGTGAAACCCCTCGAGGGCCACCTCGTTGTTCTTCTGCAACTCGTAGGACGAATCGAGTCGATGTTCGCAGACCGGGATGCTGATGCTTGAGAGCAAGGCGTTCATGCACTTGGTGAACTCCCACGTCTTGATTCGTGACTTTCCGTTCTCGACGTAAGGCTTGAGCTCTATTGTTGTTTCATGTAGAGCTACATCCATCGAGACCTTTGTTTTCGGAGGCCGGTAGTGAGGCTGGAGCAATGAGCCGCCTGCCAGTAAACTAGGCTCCATGGCTGGCCAATCGTACCAATCGATGCGCGAGGTCTCATCGATGGTGTTTCGAAGGGAGCCTGCAACAGACGCTCGACCAGTTCTGATGCTGATCATGCGTCCATATTTATCAAAACAATCGTTCTCCATGATACAAGAGTAGTGGATTGTATACGTCCCTCCAGAAAGGCCCAAATGGCGCTGACGCCTGCGAGGGCCGTGCTCATTTGGAAGGCTAGTATTCCGTTTCCACTGGCTGGTGTAGTCTACACAAAGCACTTGGGCTAAGTAGTGCATCATATCTGTCAAAGTTTCGTTCGTGAATCTGGGCATAGGATCCGGCTTGTTTCCGTCCGGCACTGTTGTCGGGATGAATGAAGTGCACCAAGACTTATGTATAGCCCAGCCATCGATTATGGAGCTTTCAGGCACTCGCAGGTTCAAAGGATCAAATCTGCAGTGAGACAAGGCTAGCGCAATGATGGAGGTGTTGTGGATGATCATGCCTATTCGTTGGCATATACAACCCACCCCTCGAGCAACATAGTTGATAGTATCGATCATTGTGTCGGCAACCGCATCCACATCAGACTGATGCCTGTCACAAAGACCTGCTAGCCGTAATACTTGATCTCGTGCCATGTATGTCAGTCCATGACTTGCTGGCCCCATGGTTATTGGGGGGCGAGAATCTGAGTTTGGTAGCAACGTCGGTTGTACGACCGATTTCGGCATTGGCGACGGGTTCAAGGCCGCAGTTGATGAAGTCTCGGTTTTTGTTGAACCAGACAACCGTTTCCTTATGTTTGCTAAATCTGGAGAGCATTGCGATTGGTGCACGGCTGGTGGCGGTGATGGCGATGAGGATGAAGAAGACGACGATGAGGATGGGCATGACGATTCATGCGACTGCACAGACGGATATGGAGTTCTTTCCGGTGATGCCGATGGTTTCAGTATCAATCTCGATATCGATGTCGGCGGTCGTGCGTGTAAGCTTTTTTCCAATAGTCTCCTCCGCCAACCTTCACCCATTGTTTGTATGCGCCGAGGGAAGTTCTCTGTTGATTCATGTTCAACTGCCTTGATCCGCAGTACACCGAGAACCTGCTCCAAGCTCTGAGCATTGTTGAAATCCCCCGTGGTCCTGTATGGCTTGGTTGATTCAGTTGCCCATGATCTGTCTGGCATGATGACCATACTGGCCAACATCTGTTTTGACATTCTCCGAATTGCGGCGTGAACTGCATCGGTTATGTCTGAGTCCATTTGGGGCCGCTTCGCCAGAATACCCTCCACGGCATCTCCTATCAAATAATTGATTGCCAGAACGGTATCGTCGTTGATAGTCTCGGGGCTTGCAATCCGAATTTGAGGCTTATCCGAAGGCTGGATTGAAAATTTCTCCATCGGATGTGTTCCCAACTGGAAAACAACACCTCCTTTATCGCCTCCGCATGCCCATAGCAATTTCTCATTGCATCGTAGCTCAACTGACATGCCCAGTAAGTGACTCGCAAAAGCGGGAAGCCAGGACCCACGCATCTCCAAAATCATGTAGTGCTCTTGTCGATTCTGAGACGTGTGGAGTAGCTGCTTGATAGCTCCAGCCAGAGCAGATCCTGAACCTAGATGTCTCAACTCCCAGAGGGGCTGTCGGTTAGGTTTTCTGTCTCTGTCACCTTTAGACTGAGAAAGGATTTCGGCCTCTAAGGACCCCTCTACCACGTCCGTGATGTGTTGAAGAACTTTCGAAAAGCCGAGATCGTAGACAAAAGGCGTCAAGTAGGCAACAAGCTCCTTCAACACGTCGACGCTTGGTAGCCTCTCTAGACTGATACCAAAGACCGCCAGCAACTCCGAGAGGCATTGAGCAGCTTGGAAAGGCGTTGCGCCAGTTCCAAGCGCCCCGACAAGTAGCAGGGCATTCGTCCCAGCCCGTGTGCGTGTCATCTCGACCACTGGGGTTGAATGGCCCCAGCCAATACTAAGTGCCTTCGACAAGACCGACTGGTACCCACGCCTTTGTGCAACATGTGCGTGGACTGTGTCTGCGAGAGATGACCGGATGGGAACTCTAGCTCCCAGCCAGAATGCGGCACCAACGGCGTAGATGTCGACTTTGCCATCGCTGAGTGCCTTCAGCACGCGACCTGTCAGCATGTGCGTCAGAGATCCCAAGTTGATGACGTCGCCTTGAAAAGCGAAGTCAACCTCGTTCGCCATATTGGATGGTCGTACTGGGCAATACTATGAGTGAATGGGGGATTCTGCACGGAAATTGCGGGGGGGGGGGAAAACGATAGTCTTCAAAGAAGGGGAAAAGTTGAATCGGTGTTAAAAATGACAGAGCGGGGGAGCAGATTTCTAAGGTCGATCTCAGCCTGATTTTCATATGCGAGATATCCGAATGTAAGACAGGATGACTGGTTGACAACTTGCATGGTGGATGCCATGCAGAGCCTTAGCGACGACCGCATCTGGACGAATGAGGCACCGAGAAAGCTGTCGCCAACACACAGCTTAAAATGTCACATGGCCCCATTCTTGTACACTGTTTCAGCACTAGCTTGGAAAATGTGTAAAATCTTTATGGTTGAACAGTCCAGTTGGCGGGTAATTTTGTTTCATTCTTGATGATTTTGTACTATTGATGAAACCAAATGCTGCTACTGTAGTGCTATACGAGAATCGAACTTTGCCATGTTTTGTAATCGCACACCTAGAGCTCAAAAGCTCATTCGGTTATGCTCAGTACTTTTGCCTTAAGATGGCAATCGCTAACCTAAGGTGCTGCGGACGACTTGAAACTGGATTGTCCCAGTATCAACAGCTCGCGGTGTCAATAATTGGAGTGAGGTACAACTCCTCATACAGACCGCAGCTTAAGTCAGTTAGCCTAGTACAGCTGTTCACTATATTGAATGGACAGACACATTTGGTGATTTGTAGGCTGCGACATGATCAATCGTAGCATAACTTCTAGCCGCCCATAACTACAACTGGCAACTTATTTCCGAGCTTCACCTCGTTGATGGAGCACTTCAGACATGCATAGAGCTGAAGCACACCCGGGCGATGTTCGAGACCTCCTCTTGCCCATGATAAGAAAGTACACATAAAAATTTGCTGAAGTTTGTCACCCTTAAGGGCAAAAACCAGCACTTCACCGGGTAGTTTTTTCAGGTTTGCCCAGTGATATGCCCCATTCAAACCATCAAATACGCCGCTCCCATCATTATTCAGATCTACCCAGCGATGTGCTCCATTGAAGCCATCAACTGCGACCTCTCCGTCATATTGAGATTCATAATTATCGAATTTGGCGTGTTCGCACCTAGGAATCTTCCATCTCCTGAGAAATTCAACAAGGAAGATCGTAAGCGGAAAATATATGGGTTGTGATGTTGGCGTATGTAGTCCCAGGCGAAGGGAGAAGAGGGCTTCGTCCACGCTAGCATCCATAAAAAACTGCGTTTGAGAAGGTCTAAAATGAGGCCCAAGATGAGAACCACCGGCCAGTACACTCGGCTTGATGTTGTCACGCAGAGCGTGCATCTGAGCGTGGTATTGCCCATTGTCCGTCGCCCATTCCATTATCACATTTCGAAACAGTCCTGCAACAGATGCTCGCCCATTTCGGATCTCGATCATTCGCCCAAGCTCATCGTAGCAGTCTCTGCTCATGATGCAAGAGTAGTATATGGTGAAAGTGCCGCCCGAAAGTCCTAGAACGGAAGCTTCTGGTTCACCTCTCGTGGCAGTATAGTATGAAGCAAGCCAGGTATCCGTATAATCATGGCAGATAAGACGCCCTAGATAGTCGAAGAATTCGTCGTTTCGGGGATAGCGATCTTCGACCTCATTTGGGCAAAACAGCTTTTGACTCCACGGTACCGGCGTCTCCCCCATCAGCATGCTCTCTTGCAGCATGATCTGTGACGAGTCGAATTTGCACCTCGCTAAGGCCACCGAAGCGGCCGCAACCCCGCTAATGAGCATTCCGAGACGTTTGCACAAGCAATCAGGTGTGGCCTTTGTGTCGCAATCATACATGAGTAGCCTCCATTTAGTTTGCATACATGTATGCAAAACACAACGGCGCATCACCATCTTCAGATCGTTTGCACTCAATGTAGAAAGCCCAAGCTGCCACCTAGAGCACCTAAGTCGCCATTCAGTGTTGTAGGAATATGGCGGTCCTTCTCCAGTTGATCCAGGACTAATGTTCATGGCGGCAAGAGTTTCCCGGATTGCCCCTGTAATGTCAAAATCTCCTTGCATAGGGAAGATTTCATTTTTCTGCTCGGCTTTGTTACGAGTCAGAGTGGCAATATGGTATAAAGAGACATACTCATCAGATAGACTGTTGATAGCCCCATGGATAATGTCGGTGAGATCTTGATCAACCTCGGGCCATTTGGCTAGGTGGGATGAAACCGCTTGGTCCAGAGGGTATTCGATGAAAGATCTTTCTTGAAGAGATTTTCCTATTTCGTTGGTTGAGATGATATTCAAAGGTGTCTGGATGGATTGTAAAGAAAAGTTGTTGATCGGATGGTTGCCCATTTGGAAGATGATTGTCCCCCGATCTCCCCCACAAGCCCAGAGGATCTCTTCATCGAGCCGCAGCTCAACAGACATGCCAAGTATATGACATGAAAACGCAGGGAGCCATGCTCCTCTAGCTCTCAATATCATGTAGTGGCTTTCTCCTCTTCGCGCTGTGAATATGACTTGTTTGATATCGCCAGCAACGATGGACGCGTTACCCAGACACCTCATCTTCCAAAGTTCGTTTTCCTGATCACCCGGAGACTGATTTGCAAACTTATTGCTTGTACGAATAGCTCTTTCAGTCGTGATGGTGATGTAATGCAAAACCCTGGAAAACCCCATATCAAGCGCGAAAGGGGCCAGATAAGATGTCAAGCCACGAAGAACATCAATGTTGGGGAGATTTTGCGGACCAAGCCCAAAAACAGAGAGAAGCTCATGCAGAAGCTGAGTAGCTTGGAATGGCGTAGAGCCAGTTGCCAAAGCGGCAATGACTAGAAGAGCATTTGTGCCTGCTTGCGTGCGCGTCATTTCAATCACGGGGGTTGAGTGCCCCCAACCGATACTCAGCGCCTTGGCGAGAACCGACTAAATGCTGATACTGGATTTCTGCACAATTTGGGAATGGATAGTTTCCGATAACGAAGGCCGAACCGGAACCTTGCCGCCAAGCCAGAAGGCAGCAAACATTGCGCAGGTGTCTACTCCTCCATCGCTGAGAGCCTTGAGTACGCGACCCGTCAGCATGTGTGAGAGGGATGCCATGTTGACAGACATCGGCCCGAAATGCGAAGCCCACTTGATCAGACATTCCGAGATACGCTGAATGGAAGATAGCCAAGATACTGAAGGCGCCGATGATAAGAGGAAGAATTTGGAATGTGCTGAGAAATCTGTTGGCAAATTGGTGGACGCTGGTGAGAAACGCGAGGTTGAAAGGAGCGGGGAACGACGGTATGAGTTCGACTGGGAGATTTTGGACGTCAGAAGATGCACTACGAGAAAAAGACCAATGGGACTGCCAGATTGAGTTGTTTGCGGCACCAGTCCCAGACGAATGATGTGTGCAGCTGAACCGGAGTGTGGCAGATCAGGCTGTATTGACCGGATCTGATGTTGAGTTTTGAATCAGCCAATTGAATCGAGAGCAAGCCGACATGGCCAACGATTTTGAAAGGGAAGAGAAAATCGAGATATTCGTCTTGTTATTACAATATTTGTCACCCAAAATTAACGGTCTTCGGAATGAAATTTAGTAACGACCGAATTTACTATAAGTGAGGTCAAGCAAATAACATTGTAGCGCAACACTAACTTAAATGCATTCATGGACTTTCCAACTTGGCATATATATCCAATCATAAAGATCTAACACCTTCCCAAAGGCTAAGACCATAGACCTCTTGGCATAGGATCTCAAGCGGCGTGACGTTCACTGACTTAGAAAAGCTATGGTCGTTGTATGGGGCTTTCAAGCACCGGATACATTCATGGATGAGTTATGTACGTACCAAAGACCATAATATGCAATAAACCAATTTCTTACCCCACCAGACACAGCTACAAAAAAAAGTTCACTCGCAACAAATTCTCTTCAGCTTTTTTTCTCCTACACAAACAGGTCTTCACCATTCGACAGACCAGCCTGCAACGGCACGACACTACGAGGACCGAATCTTCCCGCACCCCAAGTCATGTAGCTGCGTTCTCGCACGCATGACAATGGGCGCAATTCACCTCTACCTCGTCCGCCACGGCGAGTCCGTCGACAACGTCGCGAACCTCTAGTACGCGCGCCTCTTCGCTGCTGCCGCCTGAATTTGGCTGGGTCTCCCTTCCCTCGTCCTCTTTCTAACGTGCGTGGCATTGGTGTTCGTGCAGTGCAGGCTCTCGCGACGCGTCCTTGACCTCCCACGGTGTCCTCCAAGCCAGGCGCCTGGGCACACATCTCGCCGCGCGCACCGCCTCGGCGCCCGTCTCGCACATCTTCGCGTCGAATTTGCAGCGTGCGTATCGCACCGCCGAGGCTGTCCGCGATGCCCTCTCGCCCCCGAACGCGACTGAAGGTGAAGCTTCGTCGTCGACAATGGGCAGGAGGGTGGAGGTCGTGCAGCTGCACGAGCTTCGCGAGAAGCACTTCGGGTCCGGCGAGGGACAGAAGGTCGGCGCCCGCGCTGCTGGTGACAGGCACGTTGGCGCCGAGACCTCCGAGGCGATGTTTACAAGGGCGAAGAGATTCGTGGACGAGTACCTCGACCCCATCTTCGCCTGCGTCGACGAAGCCGAGGAGGGCGTGGAGAGCGTCGTGGTCGTGGCGCACGGGATCATGCTCGGTGTGCTGGTGCGGGCTCTTCGTTCTGCAAAGAACTTTGGGACGATCGTCGCCTCGCCCGAGGACCAGTTGCCTTTGGCCTGGAGCAACACCGGCTACGTCGAACTTGTCGTCAAGCCTGCTGCACCACCGTCCAAGGAGCCAGCGACCACCCCCACGTGGCATGGCCTGTCCATCAAGACAGTCGCCGTCAACTCCACGGAGCACCTCCAAGGTCTGAAAAAGACCAGAGGTGGTATCGGTAGCGCCAAGTTTGACGAGAAGCAGAAGACGCTCAACGCGTTCTTCACGCCGACCGCCAAGAAGCGCAAACACGGAGATGATGCTTGACGCTTCTCTCCGACTGGCGGCCGAGTCTGTTCAATGCAGAGCGACTCGGCGGCCTGCTTGCTACAAGGTATGTGCAAATTTTTCACTTCTTACTACCCCATACCACCCCGCTTGTTGTGATGAGGCAAGAAAATTCACAGACCTGTACCGAAAGTATACATGTGGAAAAACATTCGTCCAACCGCTGTCTGACACAAGCAATCAACTCACTTTTGTTTTGATGAAATTCATTTTGGACGGGCCTTGACTAACATGGCTCAGAATGCAGATAACTCACAGCGTATTGGTGTTCCTGGAACAACAGAACGGGGTTGTCTACCCTAACTATATAAACATAATAGAATGATTTTGGCGTCAAAGTCTGGTGTGCTTGCAATGTGATGCTTGTTCGTCTCTCATCCTCCCGTGATCATGACATCGTCCAAAAGTAGCCTGGGAATCCTACACAGTTCGTAACGTGGTGCTGCCAGTCATAAAATAATTCTACACATCGGTACTCCATTCATCCCGCCCAGTAAAGACCTTGTGCACCCTCTTGCTGACGGACTTCCCCACGGCCCTGTCAGAGAACCCACCGTCCTTGTTTGTGCTCTTTCTGATGTTCTCAAGAACCAGCGGCCCGCCCTCCTCCAACCCCTTCACAAGCTTCGGCACCGTCTCAAACTTAGTGGCGATGCCCCATGCAATGGGAGCCGTGACGCGCACAATCTCCTGCAGCATCCGCACATAGGTGTCCTTGATGTCTTCTCCCGTGCGTACCTGGCCAGTCTCCATGCAGAAGCCCGCCCCAGCAGCGTTGGCTGCCTCGCGCTGCTTGCGGTAGGGTACGGTCGAGATATGCTGGGTGAAGATAGCAACCCATTGCGCAGTCTCGACGGCCGCGGACGTGTGGTGGATGAGCACATTATGCATCACCTGCAGCTCCAGCAGGGCGTCTTCAATCGTATCCTCGTCGATGTACTCCCGCGGCTGCTGGTTCTTGCGGCGCCGCGATGGGGCACTTGTCGAGGATTCAGCTGGTTCCTCATTGCGTACGGCAGAAGCAAATTGTCGATTGCGGACATTGCGGTTCTTGCGCATCCATGGCGTTAGACCCTCGATCAGGTAAATGAGCTGCTGCGTCGGGAAATGGCGCTTCATCCTCAACACGTGAGCTTCGAGGTTGTTGCCTTCGGGGCCAAGTGCGTATGTGACGAACTCGGACGCGTTCACAATGACCAGCGCGAACTTGTCGTCTTCAATGTGCATCGGCATCGGCTCCCAGTGTCCCAGCTCTTCGTTAAAGCGGCTGGCTACCTTTCTTCTCCACTTGACGACGTTATCCACGGGGCTATCCCAGGCCTCATGCTGGACGTCGAGATCCTTGAGTAGCGTCTGGATCTGAAGGGTAACGGCAGCGGGAAGACTTGAAGGGAGATCTGCAATCATCTCCGGTGTCGAGACCTTCTTGTCGGTCCTGATCTTGTTGACCTCTGCCAGCGCAGCGGCGCGCTCTTTTTCCTTGGCCTTCTGCTCCTTTGCAGCCTCCTTCTCTTGCCTCTTGCGGTCCTTCTCTCGCTCCCGCTCCGCTGCCTTTGCTTCTTTATCCCTTGCCCGATCGTCGGCCGACTTCTTGGTTGTAGTCCGAGCACTGGTGCACTTGCTCTTCGTCGATGAGGCCTTGTAACTCGTCTTCTTCGTCTCGACTCGGTCCTTCAGCCTCCTAGCATCGAAGTTATCGAGATCTGGGAAGTCATCGTCCGAGTCGGGGTTGACGGTCCTTGGTGCCGGCTCGTCATCGCTCAGGTCAATAATTTCGCTGACGGACTTGGTGAACGTCCTTCGTGGCGGTGGCGAGGAGAACGGGTCGCTTGGGACGTGTCGTTCCGGCGCGGAGCTGGATATTGGATCCCAGTCGGCCCTCCTCTTTGGCGATTCTGCCCTCTGCTTTCCTTTGTCTAGCGACCTGCTTGTGGGTTTTGGAGATCGTGGGTTTGCGATTGAAGCTGCTGCCCGTCGCGGGGGCTTTGCAAAAATACCGTCATCGCTGTCGTCGTCGTCTAACAAAATCGTGTCTGGCTCTGCGGGGGGTTTCGGTGGCGGTCGAGGTGAGCTTGCGAAGGGGTCATCGGAGGTAAGATCGTAGTCTATACGGTCTTTCTTCGGGGATGGAGCCTTGGTTGCGCCTTCATTGAAGCTCTGCTGTCTTGGTGCTGGCTGCGCCGAAGGAGGTGACGAAGCGAATGGGTCATCGGACTCGATTGTCTTAGAAATCTTTCCCGCTGCCACATTGCTCGTCGCGGGGCGCGGAAGTCCGGGTGAGCTGGAGAAATCGATCGGATCATCCAAAGTCTGGGCTCGCCGGAAACCGCCAGATTGCTTTACAGGCGGTCGGCTGGGCTGATCGGCAACAGAATGCGACCTGTCGAACGTGCGACCGGCTCCGCCTCCAATTGGCGAAAGACGCAGTCTCTTGGTTTCCCTAGTATCAGAGTCTGGCACCTTCTTAAGGGGTAGACTGCTGTCGAGATCGATCGTCGTGTCGAAGTCATCTGACATGTAGTAGACCGGCGCATCGTTGACAGGTTGCTCGTCCCGTGGTCGCTTTGCACCGGATACGCTTCTAGGGGAGTAGGTGGGTTTTGATGGTTGTTCGGATCGGGCAGTCGGCTTCTCTGCTGATTCTGGAATCAACTCCGGAGAGTCTGCCGTCAGATCGAACACATCATCGTCGTAGTCGAGCGCAGTTGCCACGGTCGCTACCGCTTGTTGTGCTGGTCGAGGGGCGGGCTGGATTGGCGACGGCCCTAGAGAGGGACTAGACAGCAGGTTGATGACCTCCGCAGGCATGTCTCTGTTGGAGATATATAAGGCCTCAATCGGCCATGGGCGCCAAAACCAAGAAAGTCCAAAACGCGCCCGATTGAGGTTGGGCCGTACTGCGTCGATGACGACCAAAAATCACAATCGCGTCTTGATCTCGCTCCTCGAGGTGGGGCACGCGCGGCACCACTCAGAGCCGGGCAGTCTGAGCGCGAACCAACCACGACCGTCACGTGCTCATCCATGCCTCATGACTAAGCGACCCACTATGCACTTAAACAGCTAAAGTTGCGCTGCATTTATCCGAACTCCGTTTTCTTGGTTCAGAGCAACATCGATACTGCTCAACGTGCCATCGCGCGTTATCGGCATCCAAGGCGTTGCTCCCGCATCCAGGACCTAAGCGATGTCGTATTTGCATGTAAGCTTAACATTTTATAGCCAGGATTCGAGGGTCTCAAAATCGACAGATTCAATGAGGGCCCGAGCGCCAGATGCAACCGCACACCCGTTGTCCATCGAAGTTGACAATCCAACGTGAACCACCGGCCTGCGTCAAGCCACCACCCGGCAAGCACAGACTACCGCTGGAGAAGATGACGACTGAAGGTAGCAACCGCGGTGAACTTCATGCCATCACGGTCCATCAAACGTCAAAAAGCGCGCAGGCCCCCGCTGGTGATTCCTGTCAAGGGGCCCAACCGCCGAATGATTACCACAATCGACAACGGGCCGACTTTTTGACAGCCGGCAGATCGACTGCCCCACGGATATCGGAACCCAAAGATCTTGGCATTTGTCCCCAGCAGCACCCATGCCTGGTATGGATGAAGATTGATTAACTTGGCTTGATTCGATGGACGCTTTATCTTTCGGGGGGTATCCGATAGCTGGTATTCCCTCCATCGCTGGTGCCGGCGTATGTATGGGTTGGCCGGAGTTATTGTCAAACTTCCTTCTGGAATTAGACCAAGGCAACGAGAAACATTGCGAAACCGAGCTTTTGGGAGGGAACTTGTCCGCGCTAATTGCTACCCAACTAAAGTGGTTTCTTCTAGCTACAAGTTGATACTATGATGAAGCTCGACAACACCATGTTCAGAACGCTGTTGCGCCCGGAGAAATATCCTCGAGGATGCGACTCAACTCCTCCCACACCTTCTCCTGTGCTGTCGCTCCATCACCGCTCCTCACAAACGGCGACAACGCCTCGTTGTCAATCTCGCCGTCCCTCATGTAGATTCCGTGGCTCTCAATCCCCGTTGACGCTGCTGCAACAAGCGTCCGACTGCCCACCTCAGTAGACCGAGCCAGCACCAACTTCAGCATACTTGTCGTCCATCCGTCCTCGCGAGTCAATTCTGAGTGACACATCCCAGGTTGCAGCATGTTGACCACAACGCCTGAGCCTTCCAACCTCGCAGCCAGCTCGCGAGTCACCAGAATTTGCAGAAGCTTCGTGGCTGGGTATCGCATGTTCATGTCCGCTGTCGTCTCGCCATCCAGAGTTTTGAACGTATTTTCCGTTTTCCATTCCGGCAAGTCGGTCCAGGCGTGGACTTCGCTGGTGACCACAGACAAGTGAGGCGTGGCATCAGAATAAGTTTTTGCTGTTCTCTTCAAAACGGGCCCAGCAGAAACGCCAGTAGAAAAGTGCTGATGACATTGACGGTGATGCTGCGTTCGTGACCCTCTGCTGCAGTGAAGCGCGTTGTCGCAATGCCCGCATTTGCCATCAACAGATCCAGACGGGGAAGCTGCGAAGCTCGTGCTGAAAATGCCCGTACTGAGTCGTAAGAGGCCAGGTCTACCTCCCATACCTCGCATACACCCTGTCGACCCGTCGACTGCTCGATCGTTTCCTTGGCTTTGTGTCCGGCCTCCACGTTCCTCACGGCGATAATCACGCGGGCGGCATTGAGGCGGACAAAGTGTCGAGCCGCTTCAAACCCGAGGCCAACATTGGAGCCAGTCACGATTATGACTTGTTCTGTAAAGAGGTCTGTTGGATATTTCGGTTCGATAAAGAGCTGGGAGTAGAGAAAGCCCATGTTGCCGTGTCTTAACAGTTTAACAACGTCCGGCGACAGTGTCTAGATGTGTTGGAATGCTCAAGTACGCCGGAATGATATATCAAAGCTGAAGAACCATCTTCCAGCCCCAGAAAAATTCTAGACCAGGCATGTCAGCAAATGCCTGGAATTAGACGCGTTTAAGCCCGCCTTACCTCCACGAAGCCGATCCCCAAGCGATCATATGTCCGACAAGACAGCCAATTGAACAAGTTACGCAACTAAACACATCAGTCGGATCAAAATTGACTAATCAGCGTAGAACAACAGACGATGAAAGATTTCGTTTCCGGATAATCCTTGCTCTAAATAGGGAGAAGGATAATCATTTGGTCAATATAATTACAATGTGGCCTTGGCCGCGTGCACTAACTGCAGTAGACATTCATTCGTTCAGTTTGTGGCAGCAAGTCATAACGTGCGCAACGTCCGTTGTCTCTCCACAACAGGTCGTCGGGACTTTTCGATTTAGCTTGTATGGCAAGATAAATCATTTCCATGGCGATAGCCACGAATCCAGAACCTGACCCTGGACGCTAATTAATACGCAGACGGTAAGTTAAGCTTGGGCAAGAGATCGGTGCCTGCGATATAGCAAGTGTTTCCTATTAAGCAACGATTCTCATTACGTACTACACAGCAAAGTGCACCCGACAATGCAGCCCTACGAATGCTTGTTAGAATCCGCCTTGAAATTCGGGTTCCGAATTGATCCCGCGCGGGATCTAATCGCGCTGGGGCCGAGTCGGGGTTCTCCAGAGTCGCAGCACCCTGTCATGACTCCTACACACGCCCGTAGAGCGAGTCATGGAAAAGCTGATGCAGTTTGAACCTGACCAGAAATATTGCCTTTAATATAGTCTGTAACTCTATCAGACGAACTCTACAGAGCCAAGCTAGGCCCCGTGCTGGGCGTAATCCAATTGTTGCTTTTCTAAGACACATGTGGTGATGAACACTAGCTGGACTGCAACCAAGAACCGAAATATCGGCCAGTGTCGTCCTCTATACCGATGGCGCAGGCGACAGGCTAGGCCTCGCTCCTGGAGCCTTACAATCCCCCATACTCTTTGGCAGTGAGCTGTCATTGACCCCAGTTCCGTACTGTTGGGTCTTTCGGAAAACACGGGAAATATTCCCCCATGCACGGACGGCGAATGATGCTTAAAATATTAATCGTGGCTGTGTGCTTAGCTTCAGACGGGGTGACAGATTGATTGACCATGGATTGACTGACTCGTCAGCGATGCTGTGGCCATCTTTGGTATCCGTCTCTAAAATTTGGATAGACGGTAGTAATAAGACCTCTCCATTACATATATAAACGAATTCTAATTACTGATCGAACATGTAACCTGCTGGGACTATTCGCCTTCTTGACCCTACCGTTCATTCCATACCTTACCGGCATCTAACATCACCTTCACTTTTCAACTTCACAATGCAGCTCTCACTCATTCTTCTCTCTGCGGCCTCCGTCGCCTTCGCGCTGCCTCAGCCTGTGCCTCAATCATGCGATGAGACTTGTCCCAACCCTTGCCGACAGGCCAACACAAACACATACTGCACCGGAAAGAAGGTCTCAGAACTCAACAACACACCCCCACCGGCCCAGTTCAAGAACCAATGGAACTGCCCCGCCGGTAGCAGTTCCCCTCCTGCGACCTACATCCAGATGACGCAGAACGGAGCTGCTGAGGGCGGTGTCACCGTCTTCTGCACCATCTAAAAAGAAAGCAGCGCCTGACTTCACCATTGCAAGCCATGACGAACGACGCGTTACAGAATTCTGGCCTGCGTCGTACATCAACCCAACGACAACGCCTCACTCAATCAAGGTGGAGGTGGATTTGGACAACCGACCGCTCTCTAGATTATTGTTCTAGACTGTACTTGTTTTGTAACCACATATTTTTGGTAGACAATCAAACTTTTGATACCCAGTTACTACTCATTGGATTGTATTCTGCCTTCCGGCCGTAAGAGTAGTTGCACGTGACAATCGCCCTCACTTCCCCCTTCATGCACTCGGTAGGCAGACCTGTATGTCGAAAGTAAATACAGTCTAGCTCAGAAACACGCTTCTCAGACTTTAGAGCAAGTCCAGAGCAGGTGTTAGTGAGAATCTGGACTGAACTTGGTTTAAGCCCGGTTACCGCCATCCGTCTCCACCTCACACTTTGCCTGATGGAGAAGCAAAGCCAACACGCCAGACAATGGTCACCAACTCGGTTTCGGGTCTTGACATTACTTAAACCGATATCTTTCCTTTGGGTTTGTCTCCCATAATCACTCAGCGGGAGCATTTCCAGGAAAAAAGCAAAAGTGGAAAGATCTACCCACCCTACATCCCTCAACCTCCCACGATCAATTCGTTTCCAACTGAACCGTGTTTACCTCTACCATGGACTTCGCTCCCCCGGAACCCCCTACTGAACTCGGTCGATACCGCATTCTTTCACCTAAATGCGGTCTCCGGGTATCACCGCTCCAACTGGGCGGTATGTCGATTGGCGACGCCTGGTCGGGCTTCATGGGCAGCATGAACAAGGAGCAGGCCTTTGAGCTTCTGGACGCTTTCGTCGCTGCGGGCGGGAACTTCATCGATACGGCCAACGATTACCAAAATGAGCAGTTCGAGGCTTGGTTAGGCGAGTGGATGAAGCTGAGGGGTAACAGAGACCAGCTCGTCATCGCAACCAAGTTCACTTCCGAGTGCAGATCTCATGCTGTTGGAAAAGGCAAGACGCCTAACCACTGTGGAAACCATCGCCGCAGTCTACCAAGTTGCAGACCGACATCGATATCTTGTACCTTCACTGGTGGGACCACACGACATCGATAGAAGAGGTCATAGACAGCATACATACACTTGTCGACCAGGGTAAAGTCCTCTACCTAGGAATTTCTAATACCCCAGCGTGGATCGTGGGCGCGGCAAATACCTACGCCAGTCTGCAGGGCAAGACCCCCTTCTGTATCTACCAAGGCCGGTGGAACGTCATGAACCGCGACTTTGAGCGCGAGATCATCCCGACGGCCCGCCACTTTGGCATGGCTCTGGCTCCCTGGGACGTTCTCGGCGCGGGCAAATTCCAGAGCAAAAAGGAGCTTGATGAACGCAAGAAGCGGGGCGAGAGCCTGCGCAGCCTCTTCAGCGGCGACATGACGGAGTATCAGACCGCCGAGGAGGTGCGCATGAGCGAGGTTCTGGCCGAGGTGGCCGCAGAACACGGCATACAGTCCGTCACAGCGATTGCACTCGCGTATGTGTTGAGTAAAACGCCGAACGTCTTCCCGCTCGTGGGTGGGAGGAAGGTGCAATACTTGGAGGATAACATTCAGGCGCTGAATATCAGGCTGACGGAAGACCAAGTGCGTCGGTTGGAGGCTGTGAGGCCGTTTGATCCCGGGTTTCCGAGCAACTTCATCGGGGCGGACCCAAAGGTTTCGGGTCAGCCCAGCGCTCTGCTATCTCGAGCTGGGCCTTTGGCGTTTGTGCAAAGCTCGAGAGCTATTGGATACGAGGCATGATTTGACGGAGGTGTCGATGAGCCTGCGAGCTGCTTACCAGTATGGATTGAGGAAATGTCACAGAAACTGTCGAAACACTCGAGGCCAGCCTGCCGAACAGCGTCTTTAGGCATGGAGCCAATACTAACCCAAACCACAAGTAAGCGCTTATTTAGAACGAGTCATATCCAGGACCCACAACAAGGTTGAAATGCAGGTTGCTAACTCTGTGCCATGCAGGGGTTCGTCTGGTCTCGGGGTGTTGTCATCACACAACTTAAACTTCTTCGTCGCCGGGCTAGACTCAAAGCAAAACGCACACCGATCTGTATCTAAACTATGATCGACAGAAGCCAATCATTCTCTAACATACACGGCAAGCATCGTTACCTACCACGGCATACGACCAGCCTTCCCGACCCCTGACTTTTGAAATAATGTGTTCTTAACGTAGCAAGACCATCTGATTGGGAGGGGGGTTACTGTTTGCTCTCCTTCTTACCGTGTTCTCGACGGTTCCAAGGCAAAGAGTCCTTCCAAGTGTCAATGACATTCCACTCCGAGTAGAGCTCAGTCCCTCCCGCGCCTGCTGCTTGCTCTCTCAGTCCGTTAGAGGCGCAGGCATAGAGTTCCCACCTTGCCATTTCCTCCGCAATCCTGCTGTATCCCTTTGTCCAGGCGTATATGTATTGACCACCTCCGTCGTCGAACCAGAAGTTGCCATCCAAGTCGCCCCGTAAATCCCTTGACCGTTCTTGGCGGCGGGGATTCAACTGGATCTTTGGAAAGCCTGAGCCATCGGTCCCGGGCAACGTGAGATCAGCACCGCAATCCACTGCCTGGCGTTGGAGGCTCCTGTCCGAGATATGAGGTTTCAGTTCCAAGTAAGTCCCGGTGTATTGTCCCGCAATCGCAGCCATGATAACCTGCATCTTGGCGTTCGGCCGTCGGATAAGAAGTTCTCTCAGGGTGTTTTCTTCGGGAATCTTTGGATGCCATATCAGATGCGCCACATCTTCCCTGTCCACTGCCTCAGCTTCAACTCGAGAGAGGTCGTTATCCATGATAAATCTCGCCGTAACAGCTCTTTGGATCTTTCTCCCATAGCATCCCATCCTGCCCGTCTCCTCCTCGTGAACCGCCCACCACTTTGCAAACGTCGTACTATGCTGGATTCCCCTCATCACCGCCAAAGACTCCCTCTTCTCCGCCGGAACAGGCCGTCGCAGCCTCACGTAGCGATCAACATCCCCCTCCCAAGCGGCCATCAGAATCAATACATCCTTCCTCGCCGTCGGCAAGTCCACCGGCAACGGCTCATACAGCAACCATGCAAACTCGCGCGGCAGCCTCGCCACGTCAGGATTAACCCCCACGCCCTCCCCTGTAATGTCAAACCACATCAGTCCCTGACTCCAATCCGCCGGCGTCAATTTCTCAACGTCCGCAAACAACCCCGATCTCAACGCCGTGTCCCCGTTCAAACCCACCCTGATCCTTCTCTCCGGGTTCTCGAGATTGACCGTGCAGGTGTAGTCGTCCATGACGGCATACCTCACTGGCTGCTCGACAATGGCCCTGAAAATCGCATCCGCGCCCGCGACATCGACGTCGGGCGCCCCCGAGTCCCGCGCATCCCGCGCCTCTTCGGCAATGGATATGTCCGGGAGGAGGTTGAGCTCGAAGTAGAGCTTGGCGTAGCCGGCCGCGGCGCAGGCTCGGCCGACGTGGTACCGCATCTCGGGATAGCGCCGGGCGAGCCGTCGGTAGGTGTCCTCGCTGCCGAGGTAGTACCAGATGCAGTACGGCTTCGGGCGGGAGTCGTGCATTTCTGGGACGATGTTGTTAGATATCTGGGAGGCGAGTGCTTGCTTGGTGTACACCGGATCTTCTTCAAAATCTGGATCGTCTCTCCAGAGGATGAGGTCTTGATCTACGCCGGACGAGGTAGAGGAGGACGCGGAGGATATAGAAGTACCCCATTTCCCCATTTTGTGCGTGAAAAATAAAAATGCGAATATAACCGCGACTAATGATGGAAAATTAAAGTTGGCATCGCGAAGACGAACGAAAGAATATTTAAGCATCAAGTGGGAGCCGAATGATGTGATGTCCCCCATGCTTATGCACGTTAAATTTGGCCTCACCCGCGGATTTGATATCCCGTCTGGGCCTCAAAGTGCTGGTCATGCGGCTCATGCCGTGCCAGCTGTGCCGCAAGAGATCACAATAGCAATCCGGACCCGAGTCACGGCCGTCGAAAGCCTTACTGACTTTCTCCCCGCCCATCTTCAAGGTAAATTCCACGTCGTGGTATTCGGCAGTGTGGAGCTCCCAATGATAATTCCACCAGACTTTGGCCGGACGAGACCCGCCCCCGGATTCCCCACGCCGACCGCATTCACCGACGTTCTGAATCCGAGGTTTCGTTTGTCTCCTCGGGGTACAATTGAGTGGCTTACTTACTTACTCGACATTACAGCGGCGTTTAAAAAGGCGCCCGTTACCACTTCATGACCATCTCGGAAAAACAGCCCCGAACTCGTCCGACCTAACCCGCTCTCTGACGTGAATTGAGCCTTTGATGTCGGCTACTAAGTTCAGTCGGCAGGTGACGACTTGAGCCACCTCAAGATTAGGTTATGAGCCCGACTTCATCACATCACTCCGTCCCAATCGCGACCCAACATATCCTATCTCTCGCTTCCTCCGCACGAGAGAGCACCTCGACCTACCAACATCATCCCAGCTTCCAACCCGTCTATGCTTGAGCCCCATTGGCTCCCGAGCAAAGACCAACGAACTCTGCCCTGCGTGCTGGGAAGATGAGAACATGAAAGGCGACAAATTTACCGCCTTGGGGTAGCTAGCGAGTCATTGACCAGCATCGCACCGAGGTTGTTTCTCTATTCGTAAGAATTGGCACATCAGTTGCTGAAGTCAGAGGTATGTACACGACGCTGCTCTCCAATAGTGTTTCAACAAACTGAGTCTTGCCAAACCTAAATTCCGACTAATGCCTTACCGGGAACTAAATATCATGAACCAACCTTGCAGCTCTGGGGGCCCCGTCATGGACAGATGGGCAGGAAATTCCTCTGAGGGGCCTTATAGGATGGAACGGGTCACCCCGTGGGATCCATTCTGCCCTGCGTCCTCCACTTTCCGTCTTACCAGCGCCGGCCGTCTGCGAAAGCTTGCTCCCGTATCCCTCCCGATGGGCTCTTCACGAAACCGAAGTCCAGGATTCTTGGCAGGCTATCTTGGCTCACATATCCATCACGACGGCATTATATACCTGAGCCGCGGGTCTGCCTCCTAAAGGGGGTGAGAGGGAACGAAAACCAAACGACAGAAACCAGCCGAAGAGAAACATCACGTCCGAACACCCCGCCGAGAGCCCCATCCCACCGGAGCCATCCGCATCACAACCTCCACACCCCCAATCACCATCCCGCACTCCCGCAACCCTCCGCGGGCCAGCCGCCGCTGCCGCTCCGCTCGGAGGAAGGCAGCAAAATGGCAGAAAACATCAAAGGCTCCATCGACCTCTCCCGCGAGGAGGCCATGGCCATCACCGCCCTCGCGACCGCGGGCATCTACAACGCCGTCGAGATCTACGTCCTCATCTTCACCACCTTCCGCCAGCGCCGCGGCCGCTACTTCTGGTCCATGCTGATCGCCAACAGCGGCATCTTCGTGCACGCCATCGTCTCCCTGGTCCGCTACCTCCGCCGCAGCGGCACCGTCGTCCCCGGCGCCTTCGCCGTCGCCGCCTGGTGCGCCATGGTCACCGGCCAGTCCGTCGTGCTCTGGTCGCGCCTGCACCTCGTCGTGTACAACCGCACCTGGACCCGCCTCGTGCTGGCGCTCATCGTGACCGACGGGTGCGCGATACACGTGCCGATGGCTGTGCTGTGGGTGCTCTGCTGGGCGACGCCACGGGATGCGCAGGCGGCGTGGATCGAGCGGTACGGGGTGTACGAGAAGGTGTCCATCGTGGTGTTCACGCTGCAGGAGACGTTCCTGACGGGGATCTTCGCGCGGCAGGGGTGGTATAACCTGCGGCCGCTGTTCGCGTTCAAGACGCGCTCGGCGAGGTTGATATCGTGGTACCTGCTGAGCCTGTTTGTGCTGGTGTTCCTGCTGGATGTGGGGTTGGTGGTGCTGGAGTACACGAACAACTTTGTGTTCCAGACGACGAGCAAGCCGTTGGTGTACAGCATCAAGCTCAAGGTTGAGTTTACGGTCCTGAATAAGTTGTTGGCTTTTACGAAGATGAATTCGTGCGATTGTCACCACCTGAGCGACAAGCCTGGGAGTTTCACGAAGGGGCTTGTGACGTCGGATACGAATACTACGGCGAAGGGGAGGGAGGGGCAGAATGGGATGTCGCCTGTACCGGAGTCGGAACGACCTGACCGTATATTTGACGGCAATTGAGCATCGAGAAGATGGACTGTTATGTTGCATGGAACGGACGGCCACTCGCCTTTGAGCAGACACGAGTTGATACCCATAGAAGAAGCATGAGCATGCTGTAATGAGAGCGATATTGTTAGCGATGAGAGCATTTCACGAGTAGAGCTACTATTACGATTTCAGCCTAAACCACGATATGTTGAAACAAGTTCGTTATCGGTTCACATTACCGAGGTTGACGCATGATGAGAGTCAGAGAAATTGAACGCTTCGGAAGTTCCGAGTTGAAATCACTGCGGACTAGGAAGCGACAGATAATTAGGTTGAGCAATGTCATTGAACTGCAGTTTTGCAACGTGCGGCGATAGCAGAGCAAACACCGATCAGGGCACACCCTTGAGCGTCAGTAGACAAGCTTCCAAAGGACCGGAAGATGGAAATCAGGGAAATTTCTGAAGTTCCTTGCGGACTTGCGGGGTAAAATGGCCCAAGCCGTCGCAGAGGCCTCAAGTCGTGGGCACAGCGAAGAGTCAGTATAGTTACTTGAGGCTATGATACTGGGCTAAATCACGCTTCCGTACAAGAAACAGTTTGGGGCG